GTTTTGTTGACGAGAAATGACCGTAACAGTCTTTCCACCGGGCAACATTTCCTACGATTGATATTCCGAGTGGCGACCCTAAAAGGAGCACGGGAAGTGTTGCCGCTTGTTTTCATTATTATTTTTCCATGGCCACGTTTAGGAAATATTGTGACGCCGCCCGGGGAATGTTAAAAAGTGGTATTGATTAAATAAAACGACGCCATGTCTCCTCCGTAGAGGTGCGGGGGGGCGGGGGGAGAGGTACGTGATGGGAATCGGGTACTAAGGCCTCATAAACTGCTGAACAGTAAATACCCGCGCGATAAGCTGCGGTGATTTACCACCGGAAAGTATACGAGGCGGTTATTTAAATTCGGACAATTACTTAAATACAAATGAAAGCCTCTAATCGAAAACTAAACGTGAGCAACATGTTCTCTTATGATAATCTGTTACCTTTATTACCATTTTATTGGAGGTTTTCAAAATTCTTCTTCCATACGTGTCATTGAATTTCAAAATATTTGCCTTGAATCTACATAAATCGATATACTCTCGTATTATTGACCCCGTATTATAAACATATCTAAGTATTATAGGCCCCGTAGTACAACAATCGTACAACATCTTATATAACATATCATTTGGCTTACCGTTGCTTATTTCTTGTTTAAAAATAAACTCCTTGCTTACCTGTAACATAGAGAAAATACGATTAAATTTAATGTGGTAGGGCCACGCAAAAATCTTTTGCATCACGAATATGCTTTTCCGTCTAGGTGAGTACCACGACGTCACAGAAGACCGGAGTGCGTTTCGTCTGGTGTAAGGTAGCCGGGGCCGACTTTACTAAAATGTGACAATGCAACTGCAATCCCACGGGTGTTTTAAATGGCAATCGGCGGCTGTTATCGCTTAACATCAGGTGAAACGTCAGGTCGCTTGCGCTCTTCTCACATAAAAAAGCTGAATGTCCAAATAATATCAAACTTTAATTAGAATAAATCACTTGCAAATGGTACTAGGACGACATACAACGAAAAGTGATATCGTTTCAAATACTACACGACGGGCGGAAGGACCGCAAATTAGAAAGTAAAAAAAAAAAAAAAACACCCGGATACAACTTATGCTTTCAATAAATCTCGTGTAATGAAAAGACGAGCGTATGTTTGTGTGTGCAATATATAAGAACACAATAGCCAAGGGGGCCACTCCTCTATATATTATGGACGAAATGACCGCGACTTTTCGCAAAATAAATATTCGCTTACCTTCGCACGGTCAGCGAAATACTGAATGTATAGGGCGGCTTTTTTGCCTCCACGAAAAAATATCCCTAGAGCGCGGTCCAGACTTAAATTGGTAGGGTTGTGGCAGGCTGTGCACCAGTCTATCGAGAGCCACGGGCCTCGTGAGTTGGCAGGAAATTTACATGTTTTTTTCGGATAATATCGTTTTCAATTCGCATACATCGGAAATGAACACGGTATGTTGGACGGCGCGTGCCGATTGAAGTTACTGACGGAGGTTGTAACTGCACTGTAATTGACGTGGACGGCTGATGCGCTCACAGCATCTCAATAATTGTTTTAACATTTTCGAAATGGCACTGCGGCCCACGTGCAGAAAGCGAGGCCGAATTCGATCCACGAGCCGTGATAAACGAAAAACTGACTATTTTAATCTACATCAACTACTTTGTGTAATTGTACCAACAATATTTTACCGTAGACCATACAGTACAGAATGTCATTCAACAGAAGTTGTCGTATAATAGAAGAAAGAAAATGTAAGAGTAATACACGTCAATCATCTGTTATGACAATAGAAGCAGATTTCATCGAAGATGTAAGAATTAAGAATTACTTTTCTCATAATTAATTCCAGAATAATGTCCATCATTAAATCCACCTTACAACTACACTTGCCAAGATATCACAGTGATTTATTCTTATTAAAAATGCATTAAATGTACCTTTACATCTGTTGATGACACAAATAGATAATTATCAACAGAAACAGGCAGGTGAACCTATCCTATGAAAGAGATTAAGCTTTAAAGTATTACATATTAAACTGTTTTAAAAAAAGTTACAAGTACTTGACGATGGGCCTTCAATTGCACACTGTTCTGCCGACCCTACCCGAATCACCCATATCACGGGCTATTGCTAATGCGGGCTGCGGCCGGCAAATCTCAACAAATGCCGAGAGACCCCGCTTCCTGCCCCCCCGCCCCTGCTAGCCCCGCTACGGGGTTATTATTTATTTTCCCGGGGGAAAATTGCCAATACATTCCGGAGCCGTAATCGAGATGCAGCCTCCAATATTTCTGTCCACCGATATACTGAACAAATTAGTGGCGCAATTAACTCTTCGCTTAATTCTTCGACAATGTCTGCCTGAGAAATAATATCTTGTTAAGGTCATCTTTTTTGTTGTGTGGTGTGTATGAAACGCCCGTCCAGTAATATACCATGGCCTTATAAAAAACCGATGTAAAGTCGAAGTGTTACACTTTTATGTTTTATCTGGTTACTGGGTTAGCTGGCGTCCACTCTGTCAAGGCTTGGCAACGCTTCTGCAACGGTTTGGATACATCCACATGCCCGGCTTGGTACCTTCACGCATTAAAAGTGCTTGACCACTTAGTGGTTTATCTTACATGTGAAAAAATAGTAGTCAATTTAACATACTGCATGTATTCCTAGCATTTCTGATAAGATTATTTACATACAATCTGTAATATAGCTAGTAAGCGATAGGCTCAAAACAAGACTTTAAGACCGTGATTCCAGTAATACCAGTTTTTAAGAAAATTAATGGGTATGAAGTCTTGTGAAGTGGTAACGACAGGATTCCAGTGCCTTATTTTCTTCTCAGTGGAGGGTTTTCGTGTTTCGGAAATCGAAAAAGAATCATTTGAAATAGAATGAGTTGTCCAATTGTCCATGGTCATCAATACTACATTTAATTGCAATAGAGGGCTCGTCGTTGAGTTTATCAGCTTTTTGCGAACTAACGAAATTATGACAAGCCCGTCACGTATGCCACACGAGCAGCGCAGGTCAGAGGAACGTGACAAATGCAGGCGGACGTGCATTCGGCAGGGAATACGAGGGCACGTCGACTCCAATTACCAACGCGATGATGCAGCAAGATTTTCGAACAGTGTCATAAATACGAGTATAGCAACCGATGGAGCCGCTAAATATATAATTTCCAGTAGTCCTGAATAATATGTTGAATAAAATGGTGTTCTTACTTAAGTTTACAATTAAATAACTGTGGAAATCTATATGTAATAACTCTGTTGCTATAATACAAATGGGCAGGTCCTTCGGAGTAAGTACCACGACCTCACAGAAGACTAGCGTGCAGTTGAACAGTTCTACTTCTGCGTTTCGTCTGTGGCGTAACCGTGGCCCACTTTATTAAAAGGCAACGGATTTGCGTGAGTGGGTTATTACTTAACATTAGGTGAACCGCCATCTCGCTTGCTACCTTCTCACATGAAACATTCTTGCAGAATTAAAGATACACTTTAATTTAGAAAATATCGCGTTTTCAATTCGGCTATACCTATCTAAGTCGACGTTTGATTGGCTGATAACTTAAGCCTCAACGATAATCATACAATTAAATTCAACTGTATTACTATTAATAAACTGCATTCAGATTTCTAATAATAGATCGATTATCGTGCTCTTCCAACGGAATTACAGACTCTGGTAATTTCATTGAAAAAACTTGCTTTCAACAAAAACTGGTCCAAACTGATACTTTCTATGGAGAAGTAACAAACATAATAATTAATATTTAAGAGCAATCACTAAGCAATAGTCCACCATGCAACCATAAACTAGTTATTAGTCCGGCACCACCATCCCTGTTTCGCGTCCGAGCGAGATTGACATCTGTCAGGGTGTTCCCGTATCGTTTACTGGGGTCTCTTTGACCCCACGCTTTTTGGCTGGTGGAATAAATTTTTAATCAAAATATTTTCGCCTCCCCTATACGTGGATGTTAATTTGGCCATTGTCAATGAGTGACACAAGTTAAGCTGAGATGGGTGCGGTTAGGCTTTGCCATGAATAAATAAACGCTTCACTTACGCGCCCATTAACATATTGAAGCGTACTCCTGTAATTACTATACGATTTTAACATATGGCTCACTGAATATTCTGCTATATATAAGACGACAATTGTGTTAAAATACATATTGTGGTTTCTAACGTATCACGTAATTCCTTCTTGAAATTAGTCTAATCTGTCATCTGTGTATTTTACCCTCTTAACCTTACACCGGAAAATCAACTCATGGTCGAAAATAGGTTCATATAAGTCTTCAGCTTTTAGGTTTCCAATTTGAAAAAAACTTTGAGACCTTGCATTTTTTTCACAAGTTTAATCATTCCCGATTGATGAACAATCACACCGTACGTAGCGCTGTCTGTGTTTGCTGTCTTGGATGGCGTGAATGCATATTGCGACAGCGATTTTCCATCTAGCGAATCGATCTATGTTCTCTCGAGGCGGGTGCCCAGCGTCGGCGAGGCGTGCACTTTCGTAATGACCGCATTAGGACTTACGTACGATCCGTTTGCGCAACACGATAGCATTCGTAAGAAATATCGCGAAGAATAAACTCCCAATAACGAAATTACTGCGCAAAAGCAAACAGATGAAACTAATGCAAGCACACGTTTTAGATTCGATTAGTTTTGACATTTTCTCCCAGATATTTTTTTTTCCCAGACCAGGAAATTGGAATTGATGATTGAGATATATGCGCCGATTCTAATAGGATTTGCACATTCCGCGCAGCCATCGTCACAGCGTGTTACAGACACAGCAGCAGTTTCGAACCGCTGCTCGTAATGAAAAGTTGGCCAACGTCGGAACTGTCCCGGCGGCGGAACAAACGGGGCCGTCTTCGCAAAGCCCGCCAAAAGAGCGGCGGAAACAATGGCGCGCAATTAATTCTGAAACGCGGACAAAGGCGGCGGATGAATGCGGCCGGCCACAAAGCTCGCCAATGCGGATGATAGACAGCTCAGAGTTGGCACCGTGAAAATTATGCGCGCGCGAGGAGCGATCCTCGCGGGGGCCGTGGTCGCGCACAAGCGGTAATTGGGGGCGATTCGACACGCGCGCCGGACCAACCGCCGCGTATTCTCATGGTAATGGAAACCTAGCCTGTGCATAGCCCAAGTGACACGTGGCCGGGCACATCATTGAGGCCGCTAGAACAGTGCAGACCACACGGCATGTGCGCAATCCCAGCGCGACACTGGCCAGGTGTTGCCTGCCTCAGAATTGAAACGCCGTGTAAATCACGAGATGAAGAAATGAAGAATGAAATGCACACGAAATTCCGAAATATTTTCTATGCCAGAGATTATATGTTGACCTTTGAAATCATTGAGTTTGAATATTATTTGATAGGAGAATTAATTTCTTTAGTTCATAATATGCAAAGAAAGATATTTGAAGTTAATGAATAGGTAAAGCTTGACCAACATGTCTTACACAAGCTTAATCCTACTTAACTTCAAGGAATCACATTGCAATTCACTAACCTGTGTCTAAAGAACATACCTTTAATTATTTTGAGAGAAAATAATGTGATATTCGTTTTAATGTCTAGCATTAAGAAAACACTCAACCTTGCACATTGCATATGGCGTCGCGCTTAGCATCGCCGTTACGTAATACATCTCTAAGCATCCGGGGCGGCAATTAGGGCATTCCATCGGCGCCGCCGGCCGTAATGAACGCTGCAGCATTCAGTTAGGAATCTCATTTCCAGGTCTGCACAGCTGCATATTCAGCCCCCGGCTGATACGGGGTACGTGGGGAGGCATCCCGTGCAATGTGGATCATGTTGGTAACGCTTTAATTGCTATATGCGAGAACAGTGCGGAGAACCGTCTTGACGACTGAACATAGAAGTTGAGAAAACATGCAGAATTTTGTTAATCATTAAAGTACCCAATCTTAGTTGTGAGTTTAAGAAAACTAGTAATGCCCAAAATCTGATTCCACACGCCTACAATCGTAGACTTTGCGGAAACTAAACAAACAAGTTTATCGAATAACAGTAAGGAAGAACTTTCAATACGACCAGATGGCAGATCTACGGCACCGGTATACTGAGTGAATCATCCGAAACCGAGTCACCTTTGGGCGTGCGTAGCGCACGCCTGCGGCCCTCCAAACATACGGACAAACAACCTCAAATAGGCTACTTAAATAAATATTTCAAACTTAAAAATGCTAATGCACGCGACCAGTATGCGTGGACTGTCGTTTATTAGACGCTTTAGAAAAACGGCCGCGCTTCGGTCGGAAACAGTAGCAGTTGGGGGATCAAGGTGCGTTGGGCAATTATTGGAATTGTTACTTCTGCGGTATGGTTACGGTAGCAATGGTTAATGAGTCAAATGTTAAGTTCTGTGTGTAATTGTGTTTGTTAGGCGCGTGCCGGGAATTGTGTTTAGTACCGACACCGTACACAATACGCATTACTGCTTTCTCGGCTGTAATTATCGAGTTCGTTTAGTTTAGCTCAGGGCTGCTTGCCTAATGCCGTGTCGTTGGACCCAGCCAATGAGCTTCAATGCTATTTCGCCTTTGACCAAACTTTGATATACTGAAATAATTTCACCTTTGAGTATAGTACAGATACGATTTCGTAAATTATAGTAAGTATACTGACTGGTCTTTTCTTCTACAAACTAATGGATGTTATAAAATGGGTTAAAAGGTAGAAGACTGGTGAATATGGTCTTATCTAAAAAAAAACCGTGTGTAGATAAATTTCTGTCATTACATAACATCTCAAAATATAAAAATTAAAAATTAAAAAAATATTCCATAACTAGAGTCACAGTATTTGTTTTGAGTTCCAACATTACTCCTTCATGTCAATGAAAAATAAAAATCCATAATAATATTATCCCTTTCAAGCAGAGATTTGGCATTTCAAATGGAATTACGATAACAAATATCCTTTCCCATTTGTACATTCATCTGTTTAGCATACATGTCATTCGACGCGCTGGAATGGATTTAAAAAAATATATATTCATAATGTATTAAAAGGGACAGGGGCTAACAAACTTGCGTAAGCGCATGTTTCTAATTGTCGAATTGTCCGTCCCCCTCTTATGGGAATACTGCGTCTCGCTCCCACGCGCAGCTGTCATTCGTATGACGAATCACTTTGTCATTCTGACAGCTTTTTGTACGTCAATTGTAATTCTCACCCTTTTGATGGAACACGAGAGAAAAAAATCCGGGCTCATTCGGCGTGGAATTATGCATTTGGATAAATGGCGCGCTCGGGTGCCACGAATATGTTTTTGTCCTTTCTTAAAGTGAAATTATATGTTATGGACTTGCACCGGCAACGCCCATCTTTTGAAATACTAACAAGATGATGGCGTAAATAGTCGATACTCGAGACTGTTCAGGGTTTCATTTAACTAATGTTCTAGTTTAGTTACATGAACAACGTTAATACTCGCATGGGTTCCGAAAGGGGACGGCCTACCGCCTTGACTTTTGCCTACAACATACATCCCATGGAAAAAATCAACTGTGGACATACACAATTCATAGCGCACAAAAACTATCAGTCGATGTTCCACAAAATGCCTCCGTCGCCAGAGCCCCGTCCCCAACCAAACACTACCCTCACTGTTATCCTGACAATTACCACGGCCCAACGAAAAAAACCAAAGGGTTGAACAATAATGTCACCCCGAATTAAAACTTCTTTGTGCCGCACGTATGGGATCTAATTCCTTTATTCATTTCCATAACACCGTGTCTTTGGATGCGACGTTGGCAACCATTGTTAGTGATGTCGCGATTTTTATTTACGGCGTCTTGAGTTGAGTTACGCATCATTTACTGTTAATGGCGCCTCAGAAATGCATGGGGTTTCTTTGGACCTTTTTTTAGTTTATTAGAGCGCGCTACAGTACTTGCGATAAGCAATGAATACGTTTATGTGAGTCTAATCAAAACACATTAACACAAATTGGTTACATTCTGGTACGGTTACGGTAGTTGCTAAGTAACTGATATTGGCGTTGCGGTTCGCAGTATTGAGATTCGGGCACAGAAAATGTATTTGTGTGACAGGGAGATGTTTGTTCTTGGTGAATATTGTTTGTAATTGACACAATAAATCGTTTTCTACAGTGTGGTGATTACTGTCAAATAGAAAATATCGTTCAGCGAGGTTGTCAGCACATCTTTGCCTACCCTATGAGTCATTTTTTAGACCGAGGAGTATATAGTTATATACTCCTAGGTCTAAGTCTAAGACCTAGGAGTATATAGTATATAGTTAGTACAGTTGCTAGGCTATTGGCTTCATCACCGGTGTTCGTGGATTCGATTCCCACACATAACTAGTATGGTTATAGTTATGGCTGGTCGTAAGAATCTAAACATGCCAATAGCAACATTAACAGCATTATTCACATGTGACCGCACAAAGATGGGCTAAGCTGTTAACTAAAACCAAAACATAACAATAGGAGGCAGGTGAATAAACCCCAAGAGTGGACTAGTCTTAAGACGATATAGCTGCTAGTGGTCAAACATGAAGTTCTTCGCGAAAGTGATCGCTATCCTCCTCGTATTCTTAATAGCCGCGTTCACCGTCCACCGTGGGACAATCGGGCCGACGCCTCCGTCCCGCGTTCGATCCCTGTCGACCAATCGAGACCCAGGGGATGGCGGCCAAGGTGCCGGGGATCCGCCGCGGCCACCACGCCCCGGGGGTGCCGGCGCGCCCCCGGCTAATCTAATATTAAACGCGTTCCGATATTAGATACAAAGTGAACATTCGCAGAATTTAATAATCCCTCGCCCGCGCCCCTGTCTCCGTCCCGCTCGTCCGTCGAGCGGCGTCCCGCTCTCCGCTGAATTATTGACAACAACTTTATGATTACACTGATCGGGCGTAAGTGTCGGGCGCGGGAAGAGCGGCAAATCGCTGCCGGTTAATATTTTAGCGCTCCCGATATGTCGGAGTCGCGTGATAGCGGTGGGTGCAGGCGATTTTCAATTTCGCCCCTGAAATATTGATGAGGAGCCGGCCCTCCTGGCCGTTAGCTGGGGCCCGACGCAGGTCACGCCGAGCGATGGCGCCGAGTGTACTTATTGAAGCATCAGCTTAAACGGCCACATTTTAGAATAATAGGAGAGATGCCTCACAACGTTCGATTTGAATGGCAAATGGAGTTATATAGAGTAAAAATCATTTCACAGATGAGAAGACTCAATGCTGGGTAGAAAGTCACTCTTGACTGAATCATACACTTCTGCATAGACGGAAGAAGTAAACCAGGAAGCAAACAGGCATCCCGGTTAGGAGCTAATCGATTATCATTTCGTTCCGGCACTCAGCAATCATCGTAACTGGCGTTTTTCGACTAGAATACGGATCTTCTTTAGTATAAATGGCCACATGGTTAATGGTATATCGTCGACGAAGCAAGTTACTCCATTAACAGAGCAGACCCTCTACAATCTAGCGTTTAATCCGTGCGTTAAGAACGTTAACAATGTCAAAAATATCTATGCATGTTATGGATTTAGCATAGCTGGCGAATATAAAGAGATTTCCAGAATTCCTACAAACTAATTTTATTCTATATTTTCCCTTTTGTTTTAGTGAAAGTATCACAATTTTTTTTAACTATTACACTTTTACACTGTAAACAATAAGAAATAACAATTGTTCACTGGACGCTGGGAAAACACATAATCTACTAAACAATTGTTAACACTAAGTGATGAGATAATTACGCATGCAATATTAGCATACGCATTACACTTTCTTAACCATTGCTGCAAAACTAAAGATAGCAATAAGTTAACCGTAATTTTACAAAAGAAACGGTATCGGACAAATTTCGGGTTGATCAGTGAACCGATTCGGAGTGATATTTCGAGAAAATTCGATCACCTTTATATTCACCACCGTTACTCTCGAGATCTAGATTAGATTTGGCGAGTGAGAGTCCGAAGCGAGTGGGGCTGACCAGTGCCGGATTAACCACGTGGCACGAGTAGCAATTGCTACGGGCGCCGCGCGAAAGGGGCTCCCCATTTAAACCATCATCTCTGTCTGAGCGTAATTATTAGTGAAACTTATTAAGTTAGTAAGAAGAGTATTAATTGAATTGTTTTTTTACCACTTAATAATAAGAACCCATTGCGGATCGAGGGCTGTTTGAAAACATTTGGTACGGGCCCCGCGCTTCCTTAATCCGGCACTGGAGCTGACCCATTGGGCGGCATTCGGGGCACAGCCGCGCCGTCAGCGGCGGGCGCACGCGGAATCGTCAACGAGCATTCACGAGGGGAGTTATGACGAAAATGGCCCGTAACAGGCGCGGGGCGGATAACTTCGTTTGCGACCACTTCGCAGCCCCCGCGGCCGCTAACTCGATCATCGTTAGGCCCCGATCCGCGAATTATTACGGTGTCGGGTGTCGAAGGGCACTACCACAGCGGGCCTTATCAGAATAGCCACCTACGACACCAAGACAGTTTTCGTGTAATATTTTATACCCATTAAATAATTGCTAAGCCCAGCCTGGACAACGGACACGAAGAGTCGTACTGAAATCAGGAAAATTGGAGGTGGGCGACATGCTGAAGAATTGCTAGAAACGAGCTCGTAGATGCCTCTGTTATCGCCAAATTCAAAAGTGAAATTTAATAAAAGTAGAGTACATCCTTACTAATATTATAAACGCGAAGGTTTGTATGTATGGACGGATGTTTGTTACTCTTTCACGCAAATACTGCTGAATGGATTTTCTTAATGAAACTTTACAATAATATAGCTTATATCCCCAAACCCGTGGGTTCTGGCTAGCCCACCGGTTCTGCGTCAGATGAAGCTTTAATAGTCTCGGGACTGAAAGCAAAAACATCAGTCAATACAAGGATACAAGGATAGCTTATACATCAGAATAAGACATAGATTTATATACATATTTTATGTATATCAGTCTTTCTGTCTGAACGTTACGCCTTCAGCCTATTCTACGCAGACGTAGTCGCGGGCAGCAGCTAGTAACATAATATGTCAATTGAGCTATCTTCACGCCGCTTGTAAATTATTGAGAAATAATATTGCATTCGAATATACCCCTGAAATTCTTTTTCTATATTCAATTGACCATTCACATATCATAATTTGTCCCATTTTGTCCTTCAACTATCTAAAAATCAGAATACTAAACTTAGACATTTATAGTGAGTAGTAAATAAGAAAAAATGAAATAAAATTTACTAATTGATTGTTTAATTGTTCTTTTTGTTGGTTTGTCTGATTTTTCCGTCGACCATCGAATGATTTTTCCTAAAAAATAAACATGGATCATATTTTTCTATATACTGTCCTGTCTAAAGTGTAAGTTTTTTGGTTTGAACCTGCCGATGGGTCGAAATTAAATTCCGTACCAAAGAGGATTATTTCTAAAAGTGCATCAGGCTGTCATAATTAATTTCTTAAATACGCCGGAAGTGCGTACGACGCGCGCTGAAAATCTCGCTGTGCATGGATTATTATTTGTCGTTATAAAATGTAATAATAGACCCGCGGAGTGGGCGTCTGGTTCCGTGAATTTTAAATGGCGTCGGCGGCGCGATCGGCAATTAGCGGAATCATCTCGTCTCATCCGAATTTCATCGCATAATTGTCAGTTATAATTGAAAAACGCAATTACGCCGGTGAGCGTGGCGGTTAATTAATATTAAATTCGCGAATAATCAACGCCGTGCCCCCTCCCCGGGGAGGGCGGGGGTAGTCCCTGATTGAATTATGGGGATATTTTGAATTTTGAATAATTCACGCGCGTCGAGTTAGCCCTTTATGGCTCCTCCACGCGACGCCTCGCCCGCACTTTAATTCTCTCTGTTAATTCGCTTACTTCCTTTTCATTTATTCATTCGGTACTTATTAATGCTCACACGGATCGTGCAGTTCATTGACCTTTAAAGCCGTTAAAGTAATAATATGAGATCGCATCAGGAACGGGCAAAAAAGGAGCACTAGATCGATGCATAAATATGCAATTAAATAAGCAGAGACTCCTATCGGTGGCGAGGAAGCCGAGTGGAATTTTAAAAACTTTACGCGATCAATTAAAATTGTCTCTGTATTCAATAAAAAGGGCGCGGTAATTACAAACCATTTAACTTCCCGGGCGAGTAAAAAAAAACTCATTCAAGTTATCCACAGTTTCGCATCTGCACCTACGGTCCGCCATTGCCCGATGTGATAATTAGAATAAAGCAATGAACACTCACGCTGTAATATGCAAAATTTTGAATAAAAAGTTCAATTAAACGAACCTAAACCAAACCTAATATTGTGTGCATTAAATTTATTTTAAATTTCAAGAAAATTCTTAAATGTGTTGGATGATTTAGAAAAGTCTCTTTTTTTTATTTTCGCATCCACTACAAAGAAGTGGACGAACGTAACCAACGTTACTCAGAGATAACAAAAACATCTGACAATGAGTACAGTGTACTCAATTGCATGATACAGTTGTTTTACTCTTAATATTTACACAAAAACGGCTGAGTGTTAAGAGCCCTTTATGTAAAAAGCTTCATACGTCAGGCTGGAGGGCAATTATTAAAGCGGCGCATATAAACACTTGCAAATGGCGTAACGCAGCTCGCCAAAATTCAATTTCGTTCATTCCCCAACGCCCGCCGCCGCCGCAGCCGTGCGACAAACCAAACAATTACACAAACCCGTTTCGAAAGCATAATTTTTTCGTCGAAAAACTACGTGGAAATGTGGGAAAAAATGGCAACACCGATCGCTGATGCTTTGTTAGTTTTCGCGCCAACGCGCTGCCCATTTTTGACAGCTGTCAAAAGCCGCGCTAGTGATTGCGTCTTTTGTGAAATCACACTTTGATGTGTTGCAGGTTTTGTTTTCCCCGTGAAATTGTTGACAAAATGAAGAGCTGTCGTGTTTTAAATAGGTAGCGACTGGTCACGGATAAATGAACTTGGAAATACAAAATTTTTACGTGTTTTAAGGAGCATATTAGTGAAGGAACATGTATCACTTTACCGAAGTTGAAGAAATAAATTTTAAAAAGCTTTATAAGTCTGCCTGATTAATGAGAATAGCTTAATTGTTCGCATCCTCATTTCGTTAAGAACCATCAATGCTTTTGCCATGGTACCGGCAAAACGCAAATCGTCACGTCATCCGATGGAACGCTAGACGGCGCGTAACGTTTCACGGTGTCATTCAGCGGCGGAGTGTTCAAGGGGCGATCCGAATAATACACATTGTAATCCCACACAAATCCGTGCGCGTAGCGGGAGATGCGTCGATACGCGACCGAGCGCCGTCCGCCTCATTTCAATACGTATTGTGAGTGTCGGCGGCGAAAGGCCCGAAAGCGCTTTCAATGGACGGCCATCCGTCATCCGCGCGGGTGACGGCTGACAATCGATCGAGATGTGTAAGGCAACGAGCGGAGCGACGAGTGATACCAGTCAGCTCGCACCACGCTTTTTTCCCGCCATGGGAAGGTGAGTTGACGATGTGCCGCTGTCAGCTTTGAATTGGCCGCTGAAGGGTGCGGACGCGCCGCGCCGGATCTAGATCGGAGTGTAGACATGTTAATTGGCGGGTGCGCGCCGCGTGGGCGGCTCTCGGCGCGCGCCGCCCGATGTGTGGCGACCCCTCACCTTTCGGCTGGCCAGACGCCGCGCGCCAGAGGAATCCGACCCTCGACCATCGTCTGGCGCCCGATAGAATGCCATCAAAGACTGATCGAAGAAACATGATGCTACATGTAACCATTTGTAATACTATTTGATTGGGGAAGGGAGGACGTTGACAATCGAGTCCATTTTTTATTTGAACGTACATATCTATAAAATGAGATGCACTTTGTCGCCGGGAATCCAACAATCATCAAGCAAAAGAGGTTTAGGGAATAAACGTAATGGTTTCCACACTAAATTCAATTTCGAAAATGGACGAAGATAGGATACTGCAAAAATACATACACAAACATACGCCCGTCATGCAGAGCGGGAAGCAGATTAGCAATTTCCACTTTAATGTGGGCCCTATATTTTGACACCGTCTGCAACGATGCGACGAGTTTGCATGTAAGGGGTGTGAGGAAAAGTGGCGCACCGTCCACAGCGACCACACCATCAGAAGAGAGTGGGTTACCTGGATCTGTGGCGTCGAGGGTCTGCGGCGGCGGCTGGCTGAGGGGCCCTGGCGTGCCGCCGGAGCCGGGCGATCGCACGTCGTCGTTCACCGCACCGCCGTACGACAGTGACGACGAGGGCGGCCTCTGTTGAGGACAAAGCACGGCGATGGAGTCAGGACACACGCAGGGGCTCAAGGGGACCTCCGCACGACGCTTCAACGGTCGATTATATAGCTAAGCCAGAGCCAAACAAATGATTTCGAGAATAGGATGGAATTTTTCACACATAACACCCTCGTCTATCCTATTAGAATTTCCCAAAGAAGCTTACGTTACTTTACAATGTGGGGTTATTACGTTTATCTTGGTGTTTCAATTTTCATAGTCATAATCTTACATGTGTTGTTCAATACGAACTTAATACTTAGGAGAATAAAGTACATCAACAGATATATCTAAAGACACATTGACGAGGTTATTAAGGACGAGCAGCTACGTCACTTAAGGCAGGAAGGTGATCTTCATCTTATGGCTCTATCGCGTCCTGATACATCTCGCGAGCATAGGCTCCCGCCACATGAGAGGCGTTTCACATTCCAACGCTGCTGTCCATCTGCCAACCGGCCGGGTGGTAACGGTCGACCGGCCGTTAACTTTATGAGCGGACGAACGAGTGAACGAGTTGCAATTTCACACACGGACCATAGAGGCAGAGCGGTCTCCACGGCTAATGGGCTCCAGCACACGCCAAGTTGTCATTACTGCGCCCGCGCAACAGGGCTGTCACGTTTCGATGATAGCAGGATATTTTGTTTTGCATTAACATGTTTTTGTCAAAGAAATTGTCGTAGATACAGATACATATCAAATATAAAGTCTACATATTTATTTCACTTTTCATAATCAGCAATTTCTTTATTCGATATAGGCTTATTTTAAGCTGTTAATTAATGTCAAAAAACTAACACCGGTTCACTAAACTAGACCGGACCAGCGAAGAACTGGTAAGAAACTCTGCGATCTTGTTATGATTTCTTTTAATGATACAAAGTTATAGGTATAAAATCAGCAGCAGCCAGGGGATTTGCAAGTACAGAGCGAGAGGCATTGCCTTACATATTTGTCCTTAATGCATTCTTCGATATTATAATAAGGCTTTGCCGTTTGAGTAGCTTTTACAAAATGTTTAAAATTGCTTACACCAGGTTGTTTGTGGTTGTCACCTATTTTATTATAAAAGTTAATACATCTACCAAGAAACGACTTTCCTCGACGAAACCTCTGTACTTCCAGAGTGTCGCCACGGCCCCGACGCGGTGTGGTATGGTTTTTTGTAGAAATAAATATAATTATAAACATAATTGTAGAAAGATATATTTAATTGTAGGCAGAGAATGACAAATGTGGAAATTAACTTATACGATTACTGACCGATTACTTTACACTAAAGACATTTAGGAAATTACAAGTGGTTTATACTGCAACGTAGTAAAGTAGTAAAATATCAGCCTAAACATGTCCCACTGCTGGGCAAAGACCTCCTTTATACAGAGGGTATCAGGGCATAGTCCACCACGCGGTCACGTATATCTTCGAAATATTTTTTTTGTTATTACTTCGAAAATATGCAGGTTTCCTCACGATGTTTTCCTTCAGCACCGAGCACGTGATAATCGAACTCAGGATGCTCGAGTATATTGAAATAAAGGCGAGCGCCCGGACACTCAGCTATCACGGCTCGCTGCAACGTGTTTGTACTTAATCCATCGAATGCCGTTAAGATGCGGCCCTTGCCCTGGTTGGACCGCCACGGCCCTTGGCGATTGGCAGCCGACCAAGTGAAATCGGGAAATCTGACGGGGCCATATCTTCACGAGGATCGCTCAAGGAAGCCATCCGGCCCGTGAAAGCGCATTAAGTTTGCCATTCAGCTGAGGGCCTTTCGCCAGATGTGATGGCCCGATTTCAAATCGTCGATCTCACTTCGCCAACGACGAGGGATCGCTAAACTGAGGCTTTATTGGCGTCTATTACAATAAAACTAACGGCACATACGGTACACAACAAGACAGTACTCTGGAATGTGAATTTCCTATTTGCGTTTCTCCGCAATGTTTCGAAAATGTTTTAAGGTTTACTGTAATAAAGCTTGCAACCATGTATCAGCTACTTTGTATAACGGCGGCTCCAAAACGCATTTCTAGGATAGTGGTAACACGTATAAGTTTAATAAATTATTGACAGCTCAGGTCGTAGGATACATTTCCTCTTAAATTTGGGTAAGCGGAAGTTAATAGTACACCGTACAATAAAACTATATATACTAGACAGTAATTTTCATCTCTACCAATATGCTTCATATTTTACACCTTACAATAAAAAGCTTTAGCAATGCTTCTTCTTAGTTACTTAACCATAATACGGTATGCAAATACCAATTTTCAATGTTCATTTCCTCACACTGAGCCTAACGAACAATTGAATACGGCATAGTTAATTGCCCCGATTGTTCCTTGCAACACTAGGTTCCTCGAGCCGTCTTAAGGGTCACCTCTACTCATTCCAATCATCAGAACATTCAATTAAGCTCACGGCGCGTCCATTATCTCAAATTAAAACACGCCGCCGTGTCGCAATAGGACATCTAACGATCGTTAGTGCCCACAATCAATTTCACGACGCGCGGGCGGCAATTAAAGCGCCGCTTTTTCGGTAATTGCTGGTCGGATTGCGTGGCGGTAGAATGCGGATGGCGCTGTTAGCTTGAACGCACAACCCTATCGGCCAATAAAAACCGTTCCGAATGCATTGGCTAAAACATATTTAGTATTTTGCAGCGACAATGACGGTGTTTTTAACTGTTTATGCATCAAAAACAATTCCATCCGAACATTAGACAAGCTATTACAGAAAGATGCACGACAAATGATGCTAAAATGTGTCAATATTCAAAATTAAGGAGAACCTCTGAAGCTGGTGGGAGCCTGGAGCCGTGTATACTAAGTGGTGTTTGATATAGAAAAAAACAATGTCAGTTTTACACCACTATTTGGTGCTGCAAAAAGCCTCCGTCTGTGTGTTAACAGTAAAGGCTCATTGGGATCGGAACTCGTATATATAAGTAAAGCTTAGGTCTCTAATTGTATTTAAAGTAAAATTAACAAGCAACGGGTTATTGTGCCGGTCCGAGCGTGAAACGTGACACGTAACGGTGCCGTCTCTGTGCCGGCAAAAGACGTCCACCCCCGTTCGTTAACTATGTAAATCGCTCGGGAGATGCGCGCGCGGAAATAGACCACGCCGGTTGACTGGCGATTCCGATAATCGTCGGCGAAGGGCGGGGGCGTTTCTGGAACAGATGTCCGACGCCGACGACATTGACGACACCGACGCCGACACCGGCCCCGTTCGCCGACACATCCAATTACGGGAGACAGTCAAACATTGCGCAGGTCCGTACCCTAATTTGAATATCGGGAATGCTCAGTTAGTTACACGCGGGTACCATTCATTCCGACCGCTCGGTAGCTGAGGTAATTAACAAAGCGGGTCATGGGGTTTCCATGTAAAGAGGAGAACACCTCACATTCGAATTGATCTGTTAACCATATTACCAGCATCAAGTGATGTGTGATTGATGCCCTCATTAGGATAGCATTCCGTCCATCCGTCACATCAGCACCTCGGACTGCTCAAGGCAAAACATGAGTGAGTTGTTAAAATAAAACGGTCGCGTCAAAACAAAGCGGGTCATGGGGTTCCGGTGAAGAGAAGGACTCCTTCGAATTCGTCTGTTAACCATGAATAAGTAATATTACCAGCATCACTGATGCCCTCACCGGGGAAGAATAGCATTCCATTCATCCGTTACATTCGTGCGAAGGATGGCATCTTCCCTTTATATCTTCCATTCATTAGTTCTATTCGTGTGAAACATTAGTGAGTTGCCGAAGGGATCGCGTCCCTCGTCACAAACGGGCGAACCGTTTTTTCGAGGTCCTCGGGCGCGGCAGGAAGCGCGGCCGCTAACGCGAGCTCACACCATGTGCGGGAATCGAAAATGACTTACTCCGCGGCTCCATCGTTAGGGGGCCCCGCTGTTGTTATAATTCTGTTTACGCACGTCACCGGGGCCGGCAATTTGGCGTCGTTAGCGAAAACGAAAACGCCCGGCGCACGGTTAACGATAACGGGCGACGGCGGCACACCTTTCGTTATAATTATTTATCAATAAATACGGCAGCGATCGTTACGGGCGCCCATTGGCACGCGATACGTTGTCACACTCCAATGTGTACGTCCGTTTGTATATTGTCCGAACGCTCTCTATTTTGTCTGAACGATTAGGTTGTTCATGTTTCCAAATTCATTTTATTGCGAGCAGACTAAGCCTCGAGCCAGTCTGATGACAAGTTGAGCCTTGGTAAGGCGTGATAGCTCAGTGTCCGGGCGTTTTTATTTCTATGCCGGCACTGAAATTGATCGGAATTTTAAGTGCTGAGTTGTCACGTGCTCACTGTGGAAGGAAATCATCGTAAGGAAAGGATTTCTTACGATGTTTTAATATCTGCTATTTCGATAATTAACAGGAGTTAATTATCGTAATTATCGTCTTATGTCTTATGTCTTATATGTCTTATATTAAAACAAAAATATTTCGAGTATATGTCAAGTCTGCCAATCCGCAGTCGGGTCGCGTGATGACCGGCCTTTGCCCAACAGTGGGACCAATTTAGTTTATCACTTTACTCAACTTTTCAAACAACTTCAGAAAAGGAAGTTCTCAATTCATTTCTATTTAATTATACTTTTTATCTCAGAACTCCGTCATTTACATAGTTCTATTATCCGGTTTTTAATTTTAGCGAATTTATTACCCATTTTAATAGCTCCCATTTGGTACTACATATTATTGGCCCTTGGAATCAGGATATACGTTAGGAAACTCCTCAAAATAGAAAATGTACATTGAGTGAGATATTTGAAGACTGTTTTGTTTTTTGTTAATAAAAATTTACTTGTTGCTTTAAGATATTCGTTTAATACTCTCTGCCATCGCTCGCCTCTTCTCATCACGGTAAGATGAAACTTCCCTATACGTTCCCTTTTAATCTTCACCAATTGCAGCAAAAATAATCTAATGACAGAAGTTGTATGAAAATCAAATACATGCAACTCTTTTCAAGTGTTTAATTTCTTCTCTCGCGTTCCCGCGTATTATCAGCCATTTTAAATACAGACATTAGCCTGTACGACGGCATCGCTCCCGAGGTGGGGTCCACCACAAACTGGTAGTTTCGCATTGCGACCGCATTGCCAAGTCGCGGGTTCGCTTCCTGGAAGGGGAGTGGCGTCGTTTGCGATTCGGGTGAAAGTTTTTGCGCTTATGACCCGCGATTTTGGCCACATTCGCGGCTGGATGACATCGAAAGCATTGCCCTCGCGAAGGCAACGATTTAACACCGTGTGAACTATTCACAGTAGTGTTAAGTCAGTCGTGAGCCTATTCTCAGTATTCGGGCGGTTACTTTTAATTCAATATATTCGAGAACCCTGCGTTGAAATCCCGGTGCCAATGAAGTTGTTAGTTCTGAGTGTTGAATTTTCACCTGAATATTGTCGAGAAAACAATTTGAAGATATGTGAAGTCCGTCAATCCGCAGTGGGGTCGCATGAATAACTATGCCCTAATGCGCTCTGTACAGAGGAGGCCTTTGCCCAGCAGTGGGACTTGTATAGGCTGACTTGTATTCTTAAGTCAATTTGCTTGCTTGTTATTTACCAAAAATCACAAGAGTTGAGTCTGCTAATAAACGACAAAACCCAAATTTAATCCTGGTTTTAATTTGGAACGGCTATAATAAACGTAAGGAAGTTAAATTTTCAATCCTACGTACAATTTATGTCAGTATCTAGCCGGTCTCTAAACAATTAACTGGACCCAGTATCAGAAAAGTTGGGGTCACTGTCCATGAAACTTTTTTCGTCTCGTATTACTGTCGTGACTAAGCGACTTTTAGATTTACGTCTATCGATACGAGAAACGTGCAACAGGACCTTTCCAGAATTCTACCGTTATTAATTAAGATAAAACCCGAAAAAAGAGAGCTAATAAATTACAAAAGTTTTGTATGAATATGCTTGTACCTTCAAGACTAAAGTATCAAGACATCCAGGATAGACTATACACTTTTTATTCCATAAAAACAACCTATTTATAGGAGGAATAAAACAACCGGTGCAGCAATGGCGGCATAAAAATTCCCACTTGAGACGAGCTAGTCTCCAGTTCCCCGGGTGATATGCGCGTCTTGCCAAGTTGTCGGTGGCGCTGCACTTATCGCGGGCCTAATTACCCGGGATCGGGTTACCGGGGGCGTCGATCACGCTGGCGCTGTCCCGGGTCGCGTGCGCGGTGTCACGTGACCTGGGAACAGCCTCCGTCGGCGCGAGATCGGCGAGATTAATAACAACGGCCGTCACGCGATAAAACCCAGAGGGAACGGACGTATTCGACGATCCGATTGGCGCAGTGGATTGTAAACCTGTCCCTTGCCAGAGGGTGCCGGTTCGATCCAGGCTACTAGAAAAGTATTGTGTGATGAACATACTGGTTTGCTAGTGCCTGGGTGTTTATATATACGTATTTATTTACAAAAAAAAGTATGTTTATGAGTTGCCTAGTGTACATAGTACAAGCTTTGCTTAGTTTAGGACTAGATAGCATTGTGTAAAAGTGTCCTGTCCGGCCCTGGCAATATTAACGCAGTTAAATGCTTTTCGACGACCTTTGACACCTTAAGCGTATCACCAAGCACAATTAAAATTCCCTTACATATTGCTACTGGGGCCTGAACCTACAACTTAAATACCGAACGGACGGCACACACTGGAATAGAACTGTCATACGCAGTTAATTAACTGAAATAACCATTGCCAAAAAGCCGAGCGTCGTGTTTACATCGCTCACAATTTATCTCGATCGAGTCAACAAAAACAATAAGAGATCCGCATTTAAGATAGCGGCTTTATCACAGATGCGGTCCAGATCATCCCCTGGCGCTAGTGACCAACCCCCCGAGAGGGTTGCGCGCTGCGGCGGTCGGGCGGAGGGGGTGGAACCCGACTTTTCCATTACCATTAATTCTCCAAATGAGAGTTTACTTTCGTGTCATCTTGAGAGGTCATACGTCTTAATGTAGAGTTTCTTTTGTTTTTCCTCTCCTAGATACATTTAAAGGTCAGCCGAGCGCTTTGTTTGGCTTTTTGTCCGTTTGTCCCCCAGCCCGCGAAACGGCCTTAAACCTCTGTTGAAGGCTAAATTATAAAGACAATTTAGACGACAATGAATGGTCGGTGCGTTCGTAACTATAATTGTCAATTAGCATATTTGCCTTTTCACTTATAGTTATAAGTGCAAAATTAAAATTACATACACAGCTATAATACATGTGAATTATTATACTTGGTTGAATTTTCTGACGTGCGAAATCAAATTATCTGCGATATCAATTATTGATAATCTGCATTAAAAAATAATTCATCTAGTTGGAAATAGTTAAAAACATAATTTTCGTCATTTATTTAACGAAATGTTCGTATTTGTCGATTTTTGTGAGTAATAACATGAAATGTAATGTTTTCTACATCATCTTTTACGACTTATGAATAATCAATTAACATGCTTTAAAACCAATGTAAAATTTTCTACGTACTCGCTACAACACACCCTTGACACTAATTTACACAATGCACCTTCAAATTAGTACATCAATTGCGATTAAGTTCCATCATTGTGTTAAGAAATATCATTTATAGGAATAGAATTGTGTGATCGTTCTGCGCTGCGTCTCACTGACATTAAAATTTAATCGAAATGCAAACAAGGGCCGTTTGAATATAATGAAACTTTACATTCTGCATTTTACGATTGACGCCGCGTGATGGGAAATCGATTATTATCATACGAAGTGGAACAAGGCAGCTTAAAGTCCATAATATGATCGTTAAGAGTAGCGTCCGTTCTCTATCTACCGACGTAGGCTTATTAAACTTATTAATTTCAACAATTGCATTCATTAAAGGCTCCCATGACATTTCTTCGTGTGGTTGGAAACGTAAAGTTCAAATCATAGTTGGTCCCAAGGGCCAGCGGAGTTTGATTCTCACACTTTGGACATACATAATAATGTTAACTAATAAAAATAATCGTGTTTGTATAACGCCACAGCATAAGATTATATTTGAGCGTTTTGTTAATGAAGAAAGAAGGTTTTAAAATAAGCGAACAAAGACGTTAAGAAAGTATTAAATCTCAAATTGTCAAAAATATATTTAAAAGGTTTGTGATAGGGCTACGCAACAGTCTTCACTGTTGCACGAATAGGCAGGTCCGTCCCGGGAGTACCATGACCTTACAGAAGACCTGCTTGAAGCGGAAGTGTTACACTTTTACGTTTCCTTGAAGTGTTACACTTCTGCCTTTCGTCTGGTGAGTGAGGTAACCGGGGCCAGCTATATTAAAAGGTCGCTACGCATCTGCAGCGCAACCTGTGTTGCTAATGTCTATGGGTGGCAGTTTTCACTTAACATCACGTGAACCACCTGCTCGTTTGACACGGACATACTCAAAAATTACTCGGTGACGCATGCTGTTTCAACAAAACGACTTTAATAAATTAGAAACATAGCCATTATAGCCTTAAACATTTTCATCTTACAGACCGCTTCTAGGTAACAACATCGCAAATTGATTCATCAACCCCGCTCAAAGGTCAGTTAATTATTTCCACACGGACTTATATAATTCCGAGAACATTTGCGAGACAAGCATCATGTTATGTTTCTAGGAAAGACCGACTGGTAACGGAACGGCCATTTGGAGGCTCACGAGTCCATTGTAGGGTATTTTCGATATATATTCGCGTATATATATATATATATATAGTAAAATCACTCTGTCGGCCTTTGTTAGCTCGAACAGTCGGTACATTGTGCTACCACCTGGCAGTGCGCGTGCGCGGTCGCCTTGTATACATTATTCAAGAAATACAGCCGTTGGCATTGTCCCTTCGACTAATTGTTTTGGTTTCATTCGGCCTAAGAAATATTTGGGTCCGAATATATCTGACCTTACTTTTAAAGCGTGGATTGTGAAGTTCCTCAGTAAAGAGAAGCCGTAGACTATGACTAACAGATAGTGGATTAATCAGTAGACATATATATATTTGTATCATTTTTTGTCTTTGTACTATTTAGGTTAGTAAAATGTCTCTTTGACGGTCTTCTCTATAGGTTTTCGTGTGGTATTCGTCTTAAGAAGAAGAAAAGAAAAGAGAGAATAAAGTCTTAACTTACCATCTATGCATACCATGACGGTACAGTACATCACAAAATTGGGAAATAATTGTCTTATTTTAAGTAATATCAAGTCATTAGCATAAAATTTCACTTGTTTGCACAGGACATCTATCATACCCCAGAACAGTTACGTAACTGTTGTGAGCTGTTTTTTAATTGACATTCAACTTTGGCACTAGAAGATTACGAGCGACGGAACACAAAATGTACAGTGCTTAGGCAATGATTTACGGCCACGCACCCAACGGACTCCTAATCATTCATAATCGGACGGACAGTAACACCGGATTTTATTACATCCACGCATATAAATAATGCGGTAACAATTAGCCAATACATCACGTAGCGCAACTATACTAGGTAGACTAGCGCGCAGGCCGACTACGTCCGCCGATTAACGGACTACACGACTTAAGGATCTGTGCGCGTACACGTGTATGGAAATTAAGTGGGGTCTGTTTGAGTCTAGATCGAAAAAAGAAGATGGCCAAAGCGGAATCGTGCCTCGTGCCAGTTTTTGGACTGGTCTGCGATGGTTTTAAGGCTGAAGTTAGTTCTCACTATTATTTCATCTTAATTTTAAGAAGACACTGTTTATAGCAATATCATTATCATCGTCATTAATTCAGCTGTTTGAGTCCACTGCTGAACATAGGCCTCCCCCATAGACTGACACGAAGTACGATCTTGAACCACCTGCATCCATATATCGATATGGTTTTATAAAATGTCTATTTACAGCAATACTACATGCGTGGTAAATTATACATTTAAATAGAATATCGAACCGGTGTTAGTAGACAAAAACCAGAATCGAACAATTCTTCAAACTTAAGAAAGATTGGAAAGCTAATAAAAATACGCAACACGCACGAACGAAACCGGGCTCCTCCGCTAGTTCGAGCTAAACGAATTCAAAGCAAGCCCTCCTTTATGATGTATGTAATTGTAATTGACATTATTATTCCTTCCAGCTATATGAATGGAGCGAATCGGCGAGCGGTCCAAACTACGGGCCGGGAATAGCGGCCGCTAGTCAAGGTCGAATTTTATTGTCCCTTAATCTATACCCATAATGCGGCCGCAGTTTTATGGTGATCCGTGACCATAATCACTAAGAGGTCCGAGGCGCCTGCAGGTCGTCGACCGCCATGGGAAAGCCGGCACCTAACCAAAACGTACGTGACGCTCCTACTAGGACCTAGAAGCGCTTAACTCGGGGCAGCAGGGTCGAAAGTCGCGCGGACGACGGCGTTAGGTATACGGTTATCTATCGAGTGTTTTCGCGTATCGGGATGTCGAGTGTTTGTTTTTTTTTTTTTTTTTTCTAAGGAATTCGACACCGCGGCCCAATTCACATGGTGCCCATCTAAGTAGGAATTCAGCGAGTATAGTGCAGGTTTACATACGTCGTATGTTATGATGGGATCGAATACTTTCAGATTGATAGGTCGTTGTTGCCAATCACCAATTTTAATGGCGCAATATTTCGGTGAATATATTCGGATTTATCCTCGGAGCACGCCTAAAGCGGTATTAGCAGCAAATAAGTCGTATCCTTGATTTGAAAGTTGTTAAACTTAAAGGTGCCAATATTATGATTAACATGACGAATCGGCAAATGCTTTCAGGATGCTTCGACGGAAACCAGCTCTTTGGCATAGCCACGAGTAATATCTAGAACTAAGTGCAGCAGCAAACAGTTCTTAAATGTAATCGATACCGGCTAATAAACCGAAGTTAGTACCGATCCAGCTTAACGAACTTAGCTTTGGGCCCCGATCGACTGCTTAGATAAAAGTCGATGGCGAAGATTGCAGTAACGATAAGGTGCGGCGGTAAATCAGAGTACCAGGCGGGCATGAGCGGTGAGGAGGCGAGATCGCCGCGATAGCTGCCTTAAAGGACACCTTGATTGAACGGACCGGACAACGCTGATAAGGCCGCACTATTTGCATATTAAATGAGGCGATATCAATTTTCCCGGCGGTCCCCGTCGCTGCAGAGGTCCGCGCTGGCTCGGGTTACATGAATAGCGCTTTAATTCCGCCAGGCCTCGTAAAGCCACGGACGGTTCACGATCGTTAGCTAGGAGTTTGTGCAGTCTTGATGTAAGAACCGAGAATGCTTAACGGCCTTCAATAGAATATATTATCTATATATATTGAATCCCTTAACGGGATAGACTGGTAGTTATAACTGTAAGACTTGTAGTAATACCTACTTTACTGTGGTAAGGCCACGCAGCAATTTTTACAGTATGCACGAAACTTTCATCCGGTAAAGTACCACGGCCTCAAAGAATACCATCTTAATCACTAGGCGTCTTACAGATGTCTATGGGCTGTGATTACTTAACATCAGATGAACGGCCAACTTGTCAGCTTCTTAAAAAAACATACTTAGTTTCAAACATGTCACAGCTTTTTGCACGCAAGAGTTCGTAATACAAGAAATGGATATATCATTTAAACATTTATCATTTGAACTGTAGTGCGTACATGCAGTGCAAACGTAAATTTTTGAAATTAAACTTTGTACTACGATATACGTAGATACCATCGAAATTCGAAAAGAATCGGATGGTGGAATTCTCGCTTTGTGAAACAGCTCAAGTCATGACTACAGGACATTTGAGAGCGCGGGGTAACAATGTGACGTTAGGCAGCGACCAGCGCAGAGAAAAAATTAGGACAAACATTCAATGGCTAATCAAGAGTAATTGTGTTGTAATAACAGCGGCGGAGGGTCGCGGGCTCGGCTCCCATTGTCTGGCTGTAACCGGAGCCGGTGCACGCTCCAACCCTTCGGGCGGCTGCAGCCATCAGGGGTGGAACGTGTGAAAGAAAACATATTGGGCCCTGCTTTTGACAGTTCCGCGCCCATTGTTTTATGCTCTCCGCTATGAATGTACACTTCAATTGGTTTCTCGTTCAGCGTTAAATTTAAACGCCGAATGAAAAAAGGTCCGCATTCATTTCAATGGTTCATATACATTAGGTATTCTATTACAAGGAACACATTATTATTCACGTTGTGGAATTATTTTCCAAGACAATATATAGATGCAATTATTAAAGGATTGAACAAGTAAATGTAGTTTTATAACTAAAAGAAAAACCCTGGGGAATACTATCAGCACATGCAACTACTAACGTCTTCGCAGCTATGATGTACAACAAAGGAGTTTTATGGAATTCGTTACAAAGTCACGGCAAACGCGTAGCCGCGACAAATTGGCCGTGAAAGGGTTGGAACGCACAAAAAGTGCAACCGTGTGCTCGTTAACTAAACGTATTCTTTGTAACTTGGTGTCCCGCAGGGAGCTATTGTGGTGCCCATTTGGTTCCAACTGTTCGTTAAGTTGCACTCTTTCAGTCATAAGAGAATTAACAGTTCGGTTTACTCTCGCCCAAAGATCAGCGAGCGATCCCATAATAATATAATAAACGAGTTTAAATTGGTTCTTTGTGTATGGTGGCTAATCTTTGTGATTCTTTTGCTAAATGTTTTCCGGGTTAATATTGGTTTCGACTTTAGACCTTTTTTACCGTTATGAAAACCATTATTGGATATCTAAATATCTTATTTTCGTGCTATTTGATAGACAAATACTGAAAGTATTGATTCGATTCTAAAAAAAAACATTGCAACTTAACGAGCGTGCAGTCGCAAGAGATTGATGAGATAAGATCGCTTAATTGCAAACTGCACAGGGTCGGTTGGACAATGAGAATGTTAAACGAATTAGCGGATCTCGTCTAGGAGGCTCAGACGCAGCGCAGACTGTCACCGGGCGATCCGCGGCCGACTATTAATATTAACTAAAGGCGAGCATGCACACACGCGTGTCAGATCATTAGTTATTCAGCGTAACGGAACGGGCGAGTATAAATAATTCAGGGACCGTAGCGCTTGGTCAAGCGACTCCCTGGGCCCTGGACGCTTCCTACGAAGTCGGCGTCGGTTCCGGCGTCGTCTAATTGAATCCTTAATACGATTCTTATTGTGGTGTTATTTAAATGAGATCGCCTTCGGATTGTTCGTCGCCATTAACGGATGGGACCCTTAATTGCAGCGATCGCGGTTGGGCTTCCACGCTTTAAGCGTTAACAGAGCGTGCTGAAGTTATTAAGTAATGGCTGCCAAAAACGAACTAGTTTGTGTTAATTTAACCAGGTGGAATTATCCTATTATTTATGAAGAACCATCCATTATTTGAGACACTTTTTCGTGATAGTTCAATGTTGCATCTCATATGCATTTCGTATCGATAAAATAAGATAATACGCTTTCCTCGTCAAATTTTCTATATGTGTGAACAAATAACTCATATTGTTATCTAGGTTTAATAATTGTAATCGTTTAGAAATAATTTATATTTTAATGTAAAGGTATCGCGTAGCAGCTGAATGTACAATGAGAAAAACATTAGGAAGTTTTGCCTATACCAACGGCGGTTTTTTCCCCCACAGCTTTGGACCGAGCCAGCAACGGAAACCGCCGGCACGCCGATCCGTTCCAAATCCTATTTACAGGAGCATGGAACAAAACGAGTGGCGCGCATATTAAAAGTAGTGGCGTCCGTCAATGGAGGCCCAGCCGCGGGTCTCAATGGGCCTTTGCGGGGCTCGCATTGTGGGCGGCTTAAAGGGTTTCGCGACAATGCGGCCCGGGCTTAATTAACCGGGGCTTAAAGCTTAATTGTAAGTGCAGTTAAGCCGCTGAACACGTGTCGGAGTCGCTCGGGGCCTCCCGACTCGGGCACAATTGATATTGAAATTTCCAACATCTTTGATTCGCGCCCGTTGAAACGCGACGCGGCCCGTTGTTTTCGGGAGCCCGCCGCTTTTCGATTGAATTTGGTTGGAGTTTTGCGGCTGTGCGCCGCTTTGTACGGAGTGTTTTTCCAATTAACGCTCCTGATTCCGAATCATTGCTGCGGCCCTTTTAGATTAAACCACAGCTGCACCCGTTTTTATTGTCAACTTTTGGTACTTGTCTCTCTGTCTGTCCATCTAAGATGTCCAAGTTTCGCAACGAGTAAAGAGTGAGATCAGACTCGTGAAAACGGCGTCGAGGATCGCGGCGCCTGCAGCAACGCTTTGCAAACAGCGTGCGCTTATCTGCGCGGCACACACGGCGAAACATCGGCCGCAGCGGACGGCTAAGCCTCCTTTATTAAGGCTTATTTACAACCGCGAGCAATTTACAGGAAAACCAAACAACAATTACTGCACAAAAACAAACAAGAGGAAAAATCATTAGGGGAGCCGTACCGAGGGGATGATTACAAAGGAAAACACGGTGCGTTGGAGTGGCGCAGTCATTATGTGCCGATTGTTGGGCGGTTCGGCCGTGGGCCCGGGGGTAGCGGGTTCGACAATGGCCCGGGTGAGATTACTTCTGTCGGCTGTCAGGCTGACGAGACGCTTGGGGTTGCGACGCGTTACGGGGCTCACTTTGTTTAGATAACCGCACCAACGCAAACACACGCCTCGCTTGCACGAGCCCAATTCACGCGTTCACAACGATATAACGTTAACGTTTTGCAACTAATGCGGTGACTTTAATTTATTTTCGGATAATTTCTCTTGCCATCAACTTTATTTATACACTTTCGATTAAGTTTATTCGAATTATTTTGAAGTCGATTAACAGCCTAAGATACGGAATTATCGGCCTCAGCACTCACTGCTTGTGAAATAAAAAAATTGTCAACTTCATTTCCTTAAATTGATTAATTCACAGATAAATCTAGCATATGCTTAGAGATTGAGATCTGCGTTGTTCCGGTAATTCAAATCCAACCACGTACTACAAGAACCTAAAGGATATAATGTGTTAGACAAATGAAGACGTCTTAGCATTGCTACAGTTTGCGCAATTAACCTTTGAATGCCGCCGTTTTATGTGAGCGGGCAATTTGTGCGAGGCATCGCATTTGCATAATCACCAGAACGGCCCGGGTTTGATGCCAATCGCTAGCCACGGGTCCAGGCGGAGAAAGGGCTTGGCTAATGAACGCAACGCTTAGTGGCCTGTGAATAAGTAAATTAATTACCATCCAATGGTATACGCCTCGCTGTCTTTGCAAGATGCCAAACAAAACGCTGGTGATAATCTCGGTATTAATGTTACGCAGTGTTTTTCCATTTCAGTCGAAAAGTCGAAGCTTTTTAAGTAAATCTTGCAAGATCCGCGACTTTGAAATCGCGGAAGACGTGCACGCGAAACATTTACCGTTCGCTAAACATTATCGCGTTCATTCGCATTCAACGTGAGGTTTGTATGCGCGGTGCACGGAACCCGACACCTACGATAGATTTCGCCTTTTGTCTCGCCCTCCGCCCTCCGCCCTCCGCGCTCTTGGCGGCTTAACGGTTAAGAGTACGGCCATTATGCGGCGGACGCGGTACCCTACAGCACTGCCTCAATATCGCGGTCGTAAATTACCATTCACCGTTCAATCCCACCGCCGATGGTTAGACGAAATCAAGCAACGCGCACGTCACTCGCGTAAACGTATCCATTACTCAACGGGGCGGTAACAAAAGGCAGCTCTGTCGCCGAGCGGAAAGTTACACGAGAAAAGTATCGACTAATAAAAAATGCACACCGAACAAAGAGATAGGAACGCGTGTGTGCCGCTGAAACAATATGAATAAATATAACTCACAATAACAAGTACAAAGAGGCCGTCGAGTAAAAACAAAGTGCAGTTGTACGTATAAAAAGCAAAACTTTTCACAATATCTGGAGGAAGTTGGAAAAGAGATGATTGAAAGAGACCCGGCGGAAGTTTCGAGACACGTCCCTTCCTAAGTGTATTAAACCGCCCGAACTTTGCGTAAAAAGTGAAAGGAGACAAAGTGAAATAATATAAATACTTTCAATGATAAAAAGTTTGTATCGGTAAAAGTTTCTTCCCGTGGGGTGCAAATGACAACGTAACGCTGATTTGTCCCCATCCAAATGACTGTTAGGATGTCATAGATAACAGTTACAATATTCCACGTTTAGTTCCTTTCCGGCATTGTGACACTGTTATTACATTTTAACAAGCATTCGGACTAATTCTCTCAGCCGAATAATATAACATTCTGTAGGTATGTGAGTTTGAAATGTATCCAATGAGTGCTAATCATATTGTAATAAATACGACTGACTTAATGATCGATGAATGCGAAATAGCCTCGGAATGGGATATGGAAATTTTTGAAACGGTTATCGAAGGATCGTTGCGTGAAATCATACGAACATTGAAATCGTGAAATACGTGCCGAGTTACGCAGATTTGAAAATTTAAATCGAGACCGGATGTACACTCTTATCGAAGCTAAACTTGTATAATTCAAAGTGTATTTATTTAGTTTCAGTCTGTGGTTTTACAAAAACTGGGAACAAATAAGAGTAATACAATCGAGTGTTCAACATTTTGTAAAGGTCCAAAGAAATAATTGGTGGTTGAGTAACAAATATATGAAATTAAATAACATTACATAGTGATCAATTTATGAAAATATTTTTTAACTTACTTAATTTTGTAACCCAACACAATTTTGTAAACCACACAGCACTGATGCTGAGTAATATTTTTATATATATTAACAAATAGGAGTCTTCTACTATTTGTTTTTTTTAAACATTACCATTAATAACACTATTTCATTCATCTGCAAGAAAAAGTAGAAAGAAAAAAATAAAATCTGACACTTTATTTTACTAACCGAAATTAACATCGCAATATCATACGCAAGTACTTTACAGCTTAAAAAACTTCTGTTTAAACCGCCAAATATACTTCAAAGTTCGAACTTGCGGAGACAGTTCCACTGTCTCACATGAACGGTGACAATCCCTCGCTGGCTCGCTCGTGGGCATCTTCTGTTTGTCTCCGATTTTTTGTCGCCTTGACATCATAAATTAATGACTGTCAGTCTCGGGCGAGAAGACCTGACGCCTGTCACCGCCGAACTTTCTTGAGGCTATCAAATGGACTTGGTGCCCTCGAGTTTCTTCATACTCACGCTCACGGCCGCTTTAATTGAAAGTTAGCCTGTTTGAAGCATCCAAACTATTTAAACGAGAAGTGGCAGCTTTTCAATTTCTCGACCACGATCTCGTTTTAGTGGACAGTTTTTAACTGTTAGAACGTGGGAACGTCAACAATATGAATAGCATTAATATGACGGATGAACGTAACATCTCCGCAACAAAAAACGGTAATGTTGCTAAAATAAATTCTAAATTGTGAGATGTGTTGTCATTTAATTAGCCACTTATTTTGTTTTCTTTTATTTTATAATACTTATTGTTTTTATTTTACGTCGTAGCATATTTTTACTTCTCAATACGTATTTTACAATATTTAAATATTTTTATGCCTACATATTGAGTCCATCATCATTTATATGTACATTATGTGTTCGCTAATAGTGGAATATTCACTTGTATAACTTATTTTTTAGACTTATTTCTAGTATATAATGTTCAAGTGCAATGTTCTCTTTGCGATCCGAACTATGGGTAGTTAAGATTTGAGTTTAATGAATTCATAATAATCAATAATCGTTTATAGATTATCTCATTCAACTTGACCAAAGAAGTGGTTATCCAAACATTATTTCATGACTTCGCCATACAAGAATCATATATATAAACATATCAACTTACGAGAACTTTTTTGCTTTTATTCACAAATTAATGACTTTTCACTATAGCCCAAAACAACTTACTAAAAAAAATATAACCTCGAAATAGGTCGTGGGAACATGAATTTAAAAACATATGTTGCCTCTTTCTCTAGCTTATAAGACGTTACCATATTATTTGTTTGTACCTTTAATGTTTAAACAAATATCTCTAATGACTGTTTCTGTGGGTTGCATACAGCAAATAAGTTACCTTACGTCGATCTTAATAGAGGCCTTATAAACGACCATTCTAAAGATCGCCATAAACTTTAGAGCTGTTGGAAAACAACTGCCCAAATTTCATTGCTATCCGAAGATATTTTGGACGCCGCGTCTCCAATATGCACGTTATCGGTCACACGATTTTTTTTACCGAGATCGCTTATCTGCCCGGACATTAATCACGGCGATAGCACCTGAGCGTTCCCAGCTCCGTGGCACAAATGTCTCACTTTTTTTTATTACTTTTACGGTCAATCGTAGAAATTTCGAAATTGGGAACGTATCGATATGCGCTTAACTCGATAATGCAAGAACATTTTCAACGTATTTCCAATGAATATAGTGTGTTAGTTGTCAGTAATGTGATCTGTGTTTGAGTGATGACAGTAATAAATTTATATTTTTTTTTCTGTTCCGTAGTATTCCGTATATCCAAAAATTAGTCTTCAAAATCACAATCGGAGAATATTGCGACCTACTCGCCAACAGTTGATTATTATGTATCAATTAGTTCGGTAAAGTATATCTAGCTAAAACTCTTATTACCACCCCTTCAAGATTAAAAGGCACAAGAGCTCCTAAATGTTATTGAATACATTCAAGACTGACCAACAGATGAATTAAGTGCTTCTGCCGGTGAAACCCGAAGTATTTGCCGTCGAGTATCTGTTGCTGTTGCGAGCGAACGGGGCGTGTACTACAAAGGGGGGATTAATGAGCGAGCAAAGACTCGGGCAAAGCCAACATTGGTACTCGCTAATGCCGAGAGCCACCCCGTGAGCCACCCTTTAAGAATTCCAACTAATAGAATGCGGATGGAAGGACAGGCAATCCATCACGGTTCCCCCACTGATGTATTATTTATGGGGACATCCTGCACCAACCCGCGGCTAATCTTTCAATATCTTGAGAATTTCGGCGGCGTCGAACATGGGGATGTGCATGTCTTGCAAATGGAAATGCACCTTGCAGACACCCTAAACTCAACAGATTAAAGTCGAAATCAGCGAGGCCGGCCGCATCGACCGCTAATATTGCTTCGGCAGCGAAATAAGGAGACATTCCCTGACGTACGCAGCCAATAAGAGCTTTAATTCGACCACGATAGAGAACAGTATAGACCGTCGCCGCGGCGGAACAAGCAATGTTCGGTTAATATAATTACAGGATTTGTTTGTTTTGGTGCGGAATGAGAGAAATGGCATTGTGTTGGATGAGGAATGAAATTAATGGTGCTTCCTTAATGAATTTACGTTAAGAGACCCACTGCTTGTAATCGTCTTTGTTATTATTGCAAATTGTGGAAACGTTTAAATATAGATAATGATACCAGCATATTTATACGCTCGTGATAAGTGCGAAATATTCAATGGGAGCAATAAACGATCCTCGTAAACATTTTACGCGAGAGAACTCATTGGCTTGTTTGTCCGCGGCGAACGATTTCAATGTCGATTTTCGTGATTTTATACTTCAATAATTATTAGTTCAAAAAAACATAAAGTAGTTAGATAATACGTTACTTAATTGATCATTCTAATTTTACTTATTCGATCTGTTTCTAGTTTGTTTGAAAGCGGCTTTGCAAGTAATTTAAAATTCTAACTAAAATCGAAATCAAAGCGACCGCCGGCGGTTTCTATAAATACAACACTTAGGTGAGGGGGCCTAGAGTAAAATATTTTTTGAGTTCCGACGCGAGAGGGTAGACTGCGTATCCCTTCGGGACTCTTTGCCCGGCAACTGGAGTTGGTTAGTTTCCCATCGGCATGTGTACTGCTCACGGATTGACTGTCGGATCCTTTTTATTGGAAACGTGTTAAGTTTCCCCGCTATTTCCGAACTTTAAAGGGGCTCCATTGGTTTGTCGGGCGACTTCAAAGAGACAATTAACCTGATCTGGTCGACTCTATCCGCCGTTTCACGCTTCCTATCCAATAGATGGGTCTATTAATCTTATATTCAAAATCATTGAAATTGTGATATACCAATATCACCTTGTCTTTTCAATGGCTTTGGTTGATTTGGTACAGGAAACGGAAGCAAGACGTGATCCTTGCGAACGATTTCATCGCACATTTGTGTAGGTAGATTTCAACCAGCTGTCATTACCATAACGAGACGGCGGGAGAGCGCGACCCGACAACGGTCGGCGACCGTCCGGACCCATCGCGGAGCTGCCGGCGTTATTTTAATTAGAAAAACAACCGGCAAAAAGCGGGCCCCCTCCGCACAAATCACTCGTGGAATTCTTTAATTTAAAAATGGCGGCGCATGACCGCGGCGATGCAAATGAAGCGGCGCGCGCGCAACTCATTATCGGAGTCATAACGAGGCCTTAAATCAGGCGGGCGCCCGGCGGCCATTGTGCCGCGCCGATGGCCCGCTCTCCGATTGTAATATCGATTCCTCTTAATAATGGAAATCGATTATCCCCGACGACGGAGTCCGACTTCTATGAGGTATGAATAACGTTATGGGCATTTCTCGCGACGGAACGAGACGGACAGTTGGGCTCAAACCCCGACCTGATGGAGGTCGAGTGAACCGATGTGATCATTATTTATGAGGTATTTTGGGGGCTGAGGGGGGGAGGTTATATAAGAAAAAAGTATTGACAGATAAGCTTTTCAATTTAATGATAAATACAAGTAGAAAGGAGGAAGATAATTTTGACAGGAATGATGTCACTAAATGAGCGGAAACATGAAATTTCTTGTGTATCATTAAATCTTTTAACAACAATATGGATGGCGAACGCATTTATATAAAACGAAGACACGTTCGAACCTACGCATAGTCGTTTATAAGAATAGCTTAAAAACGGATTCCGTTGCAACAGCCACTGAATTTAAACGTTGACAGTAAATTGCGCGCGGGGTAACGAATACCGTTCCGAATAAAAACAAGGCGCATTGTAAAACATGTTTATCAACAGAATTCGTGTTTTTGCATCGATCGGGAACGACAAAATGAACTTTAATCGGTCAATCGCAGGATTGATATTGCGACCGCACGCGGCGGGCGCTCTTGAATCCGGTGACCCAGAATGCGTGGTGCCGTTGCCAAATAATTGACGAGGCACATCCACGCGACCGCTGCCAGGGGATATTTCGCAATTAGCCGAGCTAATGGCGGCCCGCGGCAGCCCCGGGCCGGCCCGACCTCCGACACCGACTTGTAAATGTCAAGAACAAAAGACCACGCCACGTTTGACGCTAAGGACTCCACGCGACCGGTTAACAATTCGGCCGCTATCTTGATCGTCATTTGTCTCTCGCGCTGCCAATGTTCTGGGATTTAATTTAATGTTAGGTGCGGCCTCTCCAACTCAACCACTCGTGGTCGGTTAATGTTTGACATGCCTCATCCTTCCTTCCACTAGGATTGGAATAGTTGTCACAGGGGCAATCTACGTCTTAAAATAGTGCCCTGTACGTCGTGTTCGCATACCCTCGCGTTGACAGGCAATCAAATAATAAAGCGACAGAGCGGTCGCCGCCTCGTCGCTAGCAGCACGCTCCCATCCGCCGTCGCGACTGAGCCGGGACGCGGGGGCGCTGACAATTTGATCCGCGAATTATCCAATAGACCCGAACTCGGACGCTCGAATCGATGCCCGTTCAAGAAAACAATTGGCGCGGGCCGGACGGTTTGTTGAACCCGTCGCTGGGCGGGGGATTGGCAGGAGACCTAATCGGTGGACGACGAGCTCGTATATATCTCACGGGCTGTCATCGGGCTCCATTCCTCGGCTGTCTGGCAGTTGACGGGGTGGCCGTCTGACAAATTCGACGCCCCGCCACTCAGCCTACTCACCTACACGTCATTCAGAACTTCCTGTCGCGTGGCAAATGTCTCACCTATCCGCTCCTGCTTCTGAATTGATTCGCTCAGCCCCGGACGATCTCGTGAGGTGTCGTAACCGTGCGTCATAATCGTCTTCCTTTCGTAGTCAACGTCCCCCACTTATAAGCAACGAATAGTGGCTCGTTGTCACCTCGCCATTCGTATAACTTACAAGAATGGGGTCAAAGTCTCCGAGAATCGAAGAAGATTCGTCGATTCCTATTCACAGCAAGGAGACTGTTACTGAGCTAATGTAGTCATATACATTGTCGTTCGCTCAAGTGGTGTGGTCTTAGTGAATTCACAGTAAAAAACACTCAAAATATTACTTTGTCCCGTTTTCGGTGGAGACTTAGGCCGATCAGTACATGATGACTCGCGAGTACCAGGGGACAATGGCGGGCAGGAGGCGGCGGGGCCGCGTCGCTCCGGCTAACGAGTGGTAACGCGACGCCGTAACCGATACGTTCATTAGGCTGCACGGCCGCCGCCGCCGCAGATTGTCTTACATCCACCGCGGATAATAAATTTCGACTCTCCACTTCGCACTGATATTTTGAACCGAAAAAGAACTTAATCGATAACGCTGTGTTTTATACTAGTTTTAACATAGCGTTGGCAGCTGTGCACATAAATACGGCAGTTTTACTGTGCAATGCGTAGTTCCGACCCCTGTTTTTTTCATCATTGTCATTGTTGAATATCAAGTCACAGTTTTTGTATATTCCTAATCGTCATTACTCCGAGCAGTTATACTTATAATCTCACTCATATTTAATTATAGCCATCCATAGTCATATTGTTCCCACTTACGATTGCGAATGTCCGAAATGAATTATATTCCATCTCAAAGCGACTGCCCAAATCGCCAGGGGCACTCGTAACAACAGGCGTCCACAAAGACTAGAGCGTGCCGAAAGCCCGGACAAAAAGACTATTTACATTCAAAACGCGACCGGTCGCCGGATCTAAGACGGGCGAAAAACGGCGGGCGGTGATGGAGTAGCAGACAATTCATAAGCGGTGTGCAACTTAATACGGGCGCGGGAAAAACTCGCCAAATTTAAACACCGACGGGGCGAACGGTTTTTACGCGGTTAGCGCTGCGAACAAGTCATAAAACGTTCCGGCACGAACGGCGCGGGAGATGGCCGTATGTGACGAGGGATCCGTAGCTTCGTTTACCGCTTTAAGGAGTTTAAGGAGTCGTCCACATAGCCAAGGTGTGTTCCGGTTCCGATAGATTCGCTTGGTTCAACCTTGAGAAAGAACAGATCTACTTTATTCCATCTTATTAAATTTTATCCTACACGGAACCTAGAGCGTTAGAGCAGAGTTGAAGGAAGTCTTTGAACATCAACCGATATAAGAAGCCTATTCAATCTGTTTAGTAAATGATAGGGACTTCAGGGTCGTAAACATAGACCCAAAATATACAAAATTTCTTAAAATGACAAGGACAGTATTTCCTGATGAAATAATCTTAGAACTAACAACAGCAGTGTAAGGTACGATTAGAGAGCGAATTGGAAAGGAAATAGTTAGAAGGAAGTTCTATCCAACCGCCATATGGAGTAAATAGCATTCAGCCCCAAAATAACATTGACGGACCCAAAGCCCGTCTTGCGTACGGAACCCAGACAACTAATTAGCAGGCGCAATAATTAAAAGCGGACTATCAACGGAGCGGCAACAAAAACCAATCTGGCTTTCGGATTTCACTGCTCGTATTTTCAAAATCGTCGCGCGGTCATCTTCAAGCTCGGATTCCTTTGCAAGATATACCGAAACAACTTAACAGTCGCGCCGGTCGCGCCGAACGGAGCCCTGATGAGATGGGATTGGGTTCAAAATGGCGACCGTCGCGATCCCCCGTGTCGGTGTGGGTGCGTGAGTGCGCGGCGCAGGCGCAGCGCGGCACAAGTGAATTATTCGCGAGATAGCTCCGAAGATATCGTCGCCTCGCACCAAACAAAACTATTGCGAACCGAGCAAATTGAGCTTTCGAGCGGATTCGGATCTTGTCCTTTGCGCCGACACGGCACCGCTGACAAATGCTGCATACTCCCTTGTCCCCACGTAATGTAAAAGGCCAATTGGAGGTGGTGCATTTTTATCTCATTTCATTGCAATATAACTTGTAAGACATTGCGAATAAAACGAGCTGTGTGCTTTTGTTGTAAATCGACATCAAGGAAAAGCTTGTGTACATAAAACATAAAATAATCGAACAGTTTCAGAAGTACAGATTCTTCTTTTGAAATCGCCAACCGATCTTAAGATGTGAATAATTTCAATCATTGCAGCTTAAAGAAGTTCTTAGACAGGTTGTTAAAGCTAAACCTTCTTTACATTAACTTAGCTCAGCTCTCACTGGCTGGGTTGACGAATTAAACGTCCAATGAACTCAACCATTCAATTCAATATTCACATGAGTCATGTTCGGAGAGACCTTCCAACGGTACTGAGTTGATAATGCTCCATTTCTTGCGCCAAATCAGATCCAATAACGCAAAAGAACGGCCCCGGCGCGTACCGTTCGCAGCGTAAAAACTCCGAATGAGTCAGTGGCCCGTCCGGAGCTGGGCGGCAGACAGATAAATCACTCTTTTATGATGTTGGTTAAAAATAAGTGGAGTCGTGATAAAGACGGATGCAGAATGTGTCGCGTTTTACAGGCGATGTCTTTACGCGCTCCCTGTCGCTTTCACGTGAGTTTTCGATGCGCTGGCTGAATGTTGTAATTGTAATAGTATCAAATTGTGTCCTGCCATTGATGGATCTCCCCTGTGGCTATATGTCTTCGGTATTTGTACTACCTTGTACATTGTTTTTCGGTCCGTTTACCCAATTAACTTGATTTATTGTTGTGACCTTGCTATAAATGGAATTTCATAACAATCGGGTCTAGACGCGTTGATTTGGGTCAAATTTTGACCGACGAGAGCGTAGTCTTCATTGTTTCTTTGCTGGAAAGGACGCGATCATTTGTCAAGAAAGTGACTAGATTCGTTTATCCGAGAAAGTGTCCAGTGTCCACTTTCGGTGAACTACACACTTCAGCTGCAAATTGAACAGGAATTCAAGACTCCCCTTTGGAATAACTACTCATTGGATGGTTAAGCGTCATGCAATTTGTTTAAGCTGACAATATTGTCACCAACAAGGCATATCATACATCTACTGTGGACGGTCACATCGGGCATTCATTGGCTTGCACAGCCACACAAAAACGCACTGCACAATGACGCGCGCCTAGAGATCGGTTGGACTGTCTGCAATAGTCGCATAGACCTATATAGGTTTTTAACTGAAGGCATATATGTATAATGTATCTCAGCATTGCTTAGGAGGCCTTATCGACAGCGTTCCGTTAAAGGGTACCTACAATTGCAGTGACGAAATCAAAACCGATGTCCGCGGCCGAAATTTGAAATTGTAATTCACAGAGCGCAGCAATATTTGAAATTTAATAAAAGCGCCCGAGCCAGTGGCCGCTTATACTTTTTAATTTTATATCTCGATCGACCTTCGATACGATGACCAAAGAATGGACACTTCGATTTTTTTCCATGGATCGCGGACGCGTCGGGTTTTTGTGGGGCAACTCTCGCGGCACCCCCACCGCTCCTTTTGGGAGTTAAAATTAAAAACGTACGCGTCGGGACGTAAACAAGGAGCGGTGCCACTTTAGGGGGGCTTTATTCGTGTTGCCGGGCGCTAAGTGAACGCACGTGCGCCGGGCGCGGGTTCGTTCCTGGGGTAAATTTAGAACGCGCCGCGGCGCGGGGGCACCGCCGACGAACCGCCTTTTTATAGAAACGCCGTCGCAGGGAAGTAGCCATCTCGTAAACACGCTTCGAGCAACGGAATGATATATCAGCGCTAACGAGGTGCCGCCGCATCCAGAGCCCTCTGCGCACCATCGCACTCGACGTATTCACCGGCGTCTAACAACCCACGGGATTCTCAGCCTCCTGCCAGAGGATTTTCGCGACTAGACAATGTATCATGTAACATCGGACATCTACTTGATTTTGCATCTCAAAAATCAAAATCAAAATCAAATGTCTTTATTCAACATAGGAGTCAAAACACTACCACCGGTTCGGAAAAGAAAGCCACTGTACTGAGAAGAACCGGCGAAAGAAATTCAGCGGGCTTTTTTTTTTTAAATAAGCAGTTTGACATAAATTCGTTAAAATACAATATAAGAACTCAGATTGAAAGAGCCTGGAGCAATCAGTTCATTACCAGAGTGTGTTATCATTTAAATAATCATTAATATTATAGTAGCCTTTAACACACAAACGTTCTTTTACTATTTTTTTAAATTTAGCTATTGATGCATTTTGAAGGTTTTCTGGAATTTTGTTGTAATAACGTATACATTGTCCCATAAAAGATTTACTTATTTTACGGAGTCTACTTGTGGGTAGGATTAATTTATTTTTGTTCCTAGTATTTATATCATGAACATTATTATGTCTTAAAAATTTATCCTTATTTTTATGGACATACAAAACATTTTCAAAAATGTATTGAGCAGCAACAGTCAATACCTTTATCTCTTTAAACAAGTTTCTTAACGATTCTTTGGGGCCCAGATTGTAAACTGCACGAATAGCTCTCTTTTGTAAGATAAAGATTGTATTGATGTCGGCCGCGTTACCCCAAAGCAGAATGCCATAAGACATTATACTGTGAAAATAACTAAAATATACCAAGCGAGCCGTATCTACATCAGTTAACTGTCTTATTTTTTTGACCGCGAAAGCTGCTGAGCTAAGTCTACTCGCCAGTCTATTAATATGGGGGCCCCATTGCAGTTTGGCATCAATAGTTATGCCAAGGAATACAGTTGAGTCAATAGGGTCCAACGCTTCCCCATATAAAAGTACATCAGTTTTTACATGTTTAACATTGGAGGAAGTTGTAAATTTAATACATTTAGTTTTTTTATTATTCAACAGTAAATTGTTAGCACTAAACCAATGTACTACAGTAGATAGAGTATTATTTACATCGTCATAACTTAAAGAACGTCGGTTTGCTTTAAAGATTAAAGAGGTATCATCCGCAAACAATACTATCTCATGATTATTATTAACAAGATAAGGTAGATCATTTATGTAAATGAGGAAGAGAAAAGGCCCAAGAATAGATCCCTGCGGGATCCCCATATTTACCAAGGCCCCGGGAGATCTCTTGCCATTCACGTCAACTCTCTGAATTCGATGGCTCAATTACGATTTCAGAAGATTGAGTGCGGCATCTCTTATACCATAGTGGCGTAGTTTCCTGACCAAGGTCTCATGCTGTACACAATCGAAAGCTTTGGTTAAGTCACAGAATATTCCTAAGGCATCCTGCGACTTTTCCCAGGCTTCAAAAATATTCATAACGAGCTGAACACCCGCATCAGTTGTTGAGCGACCCCTAATATTGCTTGTTATGTAATAAATTATGAGAGCTAAAATGCTGTAACATTTGATTCAACATGATTTTTTCAAAAATTTTACTAAGAGTTGGCAGTACAGAGATAGGTCTAAAATTATTGGAGTCGGAAGTACTACCAGATTTAAACACCGGAATGATTTTACATGTTTCATAAGGTCAGGAAATTCGCCACGATTGATACAAATATTAAAAATAGTTGCTAGGTAAGGTGATATTACATCAATAATAGAACTGATCACCTTAACCGAGATCCCCCATAGATCTGCAGTTCTTTTAACATCTAAAGTTTTAAAAGTTTTAACAATTTCTGTCTTGTTTACAGTAGTAAATTTAAAGTTGACTTTACATTCCATAACATTCTTTTTTAGTAATGACTCAGCAACTGTCGGTGAGGAAAGAAGTGACTTGGTTGTTGAAACTGGAATGTCAACGACAAATTTCTCGAAGAAAGTAGCAGCCTGTTGATTTGAGTTAATAGAATTATTATCATTAGTTAACATTAGGTCAGATTTGCGCTTCGTGACTCTTCCCGTTTCGCTACTAATTATTTTCCAGGTCATTTTGATTCTATCAGGTGATTTTTTTATTTTATTCCTAATATATAAAGATTTAGCAGTATTACACGATTTTTTAAATATTTTAGAGTAAGCACTAACATAAGAAACAAAACATTGACTCATATGACTTTCACTATAATGTTCATACAATCTACGCCTACTATTATGAATTCCGACTGTTGCCCATTCATTGAAAACTACAGAGTTTTTAGGTTTGACTGTCTTAGGAGTAAATATAGTATTAAATTCCACTTTAATTAAATTAAATAATATGTTGTAAAGTGCATTGGGGCTATCATTATAAGGTAGATACGTCAGCTTTTTTGTTATATTACTTCTAAACTTCTCAACCCGAGTTCTATTTACAGGAACAACCATTATTTTTTGTACCTTAGCACTACTATTTTTATATATGATTTAAAAGTGGCAAGTTGTCCGCAATGGTCTGAAGTAAATATATTAATAATAGACTTGTTAATTGGGTTACAATTTGTAAATATGTTATCTAAACAAGTTGCGGAAGAAGTAGTGATTCTAGTTGGTTCAAGGAATAAATTGGCAAGGTTATATGAATTTAACAATGATCTGAATCTAATAGAGGTGGTAGAATTTTCTAATAAATTTATATTAAAGTCACCACAGACAATAATATATTTATTAGACTCAGATAACTTCAACATCAATTCTTCCAAAACATTTTCAAAAGATTCATATAACGCACTAGGAGGTCTGTATACGCATACAACAATGAATTGCTCAAGCTCCACACAGGCTATTTCAATAGTCTGCTCAACAGAGAGGCTCACAACATCTTTGCGGTTCTTAAATTTTAAAGCATTATTAATAAGTATAAGAGAGCCACCACGTATCGCTTTTTCTCTGCTGAACAGACTAGCAACCTGGTGACATCTGAAGTTAAATATGTACTGGTAGTTTAATAGCCAATGTTCAGTAATACATAATATATCAATATTGTTACTGTTCAAAAATAACTCAATTTCCAAATCTTTACTTAACATTCCTTGGATGTTTTGATGGACCAGGCTAATACAATTTAATTTATTATTACAATTAATGTCTTTATTCAATTTACTTACATGTCTCACTGATTTACTAGAATAAGTTAAGTTTTTAATTGAAGTGCCAGAGATTGCCTCTGTTGTCTTCTTATTTAATTTAAATTACTTGGAACGGATTCCAAATTGGTACATGTCAAATTTTGTTGCTGTTCAATAGAAGCAGCAGTCTGGTTAGCCAAACAATTGGCTGGGTTTAAAAAAATGCAATAAGATAGCATATAAGCTAACTGTTTTAAATAAAAATTGGATAGGATGAACCTATCATATGTCAAATTGGATGATTTATAATTTATAATATTATTTATGTCAATTAAATCACAATTTAATTTATTTGTTTGATAAACGGGTAAAAAATCTGTTAAGCGAAAAGAGATGATTAGCTGCGCAAAACGAATCGGTTTATTTTTATATGCATTTCGAACGTCGTTTTAAATTAAGAAATACATTTATTGTTTTTTTTTACCATCAGGTGAACCGTCTGATCGTTTGGCAACTTTCACATAAAAAAAAAACGTCATATTTTTCTTTATTAGACCATAACAACAGATCCATTTCTTCCAAATAAGTATTGTCATAAATTAACCCAACCAATAGTCAAAAAATCTCAATCACTAAACATCTTTAGAACACGCTTAAACTTCTCATTCTTTAAAAAGGACCTTTCGGGGACGCACTCACACAGGTATCTGAACTATCTCAAGGTTATGAATAACGCACACGATTAGCCGACCAACCGAAACTCGCGTACTTACATCACGTAACGCCCAGCCGCATAAAAAATCGCGTCCAACGTCTCGTCTCGTCCGCCCCAAGCCCGAGCGCGCATCAGAATTTACATGGATCAGCGAAAATTAGACGCATGGGAACCGCCAATCGAACGCGTGCGCGCGGAATAAAAATGATCCGATTTTTACATGATTCCACAGTAAAGCCGGCGAGAGGCGTAGGCCGCAGGCTGCAGCGGCGCCCGATGAATACCAAACGCGCGGTGAGTGCACAATATTTGCATTTGGAATTGCGCGCTCGCGGCCAAACGAGCGTAGCCGCGCTCGCTGCGTACCTGAGGCCCTCAGCCCGGGGCCCAACCGCGGCCCCGGCTATGAATAGCCCGCCTCCGAACGGGAGCAGCGGCTCAGTAACCGACTCGAAATGGGCCACGCCGAGGTGAGGCCTCCTCGAAACACACAATACGTGCTCCACACATTTGAAGTACAATTGAGTACGTACGCGAATGGATCGGCCAAACTCGCCGAAAAACACATCGATTAAGTTGTTATCTAGAACTCATTACACACGTCCCATCACTAGTTGGACGTCACACATTGGACTAGCAATGTCGGCGGCCACCTGACGCGAGTTCTGCCCCGGCTAATTGTCGGGCTGATCCCGCGTCGCGGGCATTCGAACGTGCCAAATGCACCGCGCACGGGGCATGCATTATGTATTTGGTTTACGGCGAGGCGCGCGGCCGTGCCGGGAATGGGCCCGCGCCGATCGCTATCTCGGAACCGCTCGCTACAACGGATCAGCGCGTCGCCAGATCCATAGCAATGGCACTACGCCTGCCACCGAATGGATTCGCACGGAGCACAGAATACTCTCTGTGACCACTCTGGTATGCATCTCGGAGGAGCAGACCGCTCGCCTTATCTCCTTTGTATATGTTTGTAAGCAGTTCAGTTTTCTCATCATCGTCTATGCAGACTATTAAGTTCCCTTCAGATAACATAATGAGGTTATTCACTTTCACGCACTTTCGTGTTTCATACCAACGTCTCCCTCTTAATCAGTGAACCGTTGCAATGATCGAGTAATAGACTTTTTATAATCCTTTTGCATTGTACAAAAAATATATTCATCGATTTCAAACAGGACGGAAAAATCTTATTAAAATTTCAAATCTCCGATACGTCTCAATAAAATATGCTGAATGCATGATCTCAAGCGAATCGCTTCGGTCATCAAATCCGATTCAAACTTAGGCAGGCAAGTTGGGAAGGACAATAGTTAGGGCTGAACTTTTTTCTATAATAACATTTACGATAACCAGGTATTGTGAAAGTATCGTTTTTAAATGTTAAAAGGCAAGAAAACGCCACGACTTTCTGCGTTCATTTCAAAATATGCACATTAGCTAAGAAAGCAACTTCTTTAGTATCCATTGAAAGTGGACTTTAACGGGTTTCATTAAGTTCCTTGCCGTTACGAGTTTCTTTATGCTATCGCTAACGCAGATTTTACGTCAACAAGGCCGAACTAACGTTCTCCGAATGCGATTCACTCTTCGAACAAGGTAGTCTTCTTTCTCTCGTCGATCTCGGCTTAAGCGATTGGCCACGTGAGAGGCCACGCGTGAAATATTCCGGCGACACGAATTCCCGCTAATCGCGCCGACTTATTCGGGAGCGTTCGGACACAATGGCCGATAAACGAGTTTAAATCGCGGCCGTTCGCACGAGACGAGCATGTCATTAGGTGGTCGACAGCCGAAGCAGTTGTGAAACCACTACAGCCCAATTCATCGCCTCTATCACAACTCGATAAGCGCTAGATTCATTTGACCACTCGCCGAGACATCGGCAGTGCTATAAAAGTATGAGCCGGATATCGGATTGACATATCTCGAGGACAATCTATCTGTTTTCAAACTTTTTGGCCGATCTCCGATAAATGATTGTTTCTCCATATTTTACATAGAACAGCTTTAGATTTAATGCTCGCGTTTATGCAATAATTGTGCGAGCATAATGTGATTATTTAAAAATTTATTTGTCAGACAACTGAATGAAAATACCCGAAGGTAAGACTATGGACACACAGTGATCAAACCGCAGTGAAGACGCTTAGCGGTCCCAGTTAGCCAGAGATTGATGAGATCTCCCCGCGCCATTATGCACGATCGGTGGCAGAGCGGAGCTGAAGCCCACATCTAATTAGATCAGCTTTCCTCGCACCGGGATTCCTGGCGAGGCTCGCAGCGGCTGCGAATGCGCCAGCGCCTTGTAGCCATCTGTCACACGTCGCGGGCGCACCTCCCCGCAACTCATGCGCCCCTGGTACGTCTAATTATAGCCCAAGCGCTAATTAATTAGGAGTAGCTCAGTGTCGGCTTTTTAATTTCGAATTATTCACATTGTCTTTGACGGGTCATGAAACACTAGTCTACTATATCATTTTAGACATCATTAGTTTAAAATTACGAGGCATATGTTATAAACTACTGTAGCCAAGAGAAGAGCAACACGAATATTTATTTTCTTTTCATTATTATTTCGTTAAATGTAAAATATTTGCATCTTGGTATCGCCGAGAGCCGTGATCGTGGTCGAATGCGGCGATGGACGTTAGCTGTATTTCTCTACAGCGTATTCTGCTGGAACCATTAAGATAATGTATGTTTGCGAAAATAAACGTCCAATTACGCATTTCGCACTGCGGCGGCTATATCGAGTCTATATACGGCTAAACGCCCTGGTATATCCTTAACTTCTTTGTCGGATACTTATCTCATTGGATTCCGACACTCATTATTAAAATGACGCCGCCTAAGCTCATTTTCTCGCTTATAATTGAATAGATTGTCGCTTAATTTACAATAATGGCCACTCGGACTTTACGGCGTACTTAACGTTGTCCAAACAAACACCGCCATCGACAATGGTGTAAATTAAACACTTCCACGGGCATGAAACTTCCGATGGGCGACTAACAATTAAATGGCGATATTAAACTTTTAAATTGACGCGTGCCTTAAATGGGGCGACCCGTTCTATAATCGCACTGTTATTATAATTAAATTTTGAAATTAAGAAAGGGACGGTCGCTTAATTTTCACCTTCCGCTGCTACGCTCGACTCTTGCTAGCCGATGGTAATTTTATTGCACCTCGGCCCTTAAAGTAGGCAATTTAGATCCGCGTATCAGGATACGTTTCGTCGGTGCAGCGCATCTGCGCCGTTAACCGCTCATCTATAATTGAAGAGGGAGCGTCTCGGGACTTAATCCACCAGCTTGCCAAATACTGGACGTCGCGTCGACAACATAGTATTATGTAGCGCGCAATGTTGATCCGCACTAATACCGAATGTGGACTCCGAAAATAATGAAGCGTGGCTCTTTTTCATCTAATTTATCGAATAACAGTCCTGCTGAACCTACTTTATTATGTGATTTCCAAACAAAACATCGTTTGTGCGCGTTCGAACGACACAAAAAGCTAAATGGACGCCGTTCAAACAAAACGACGGTAATCATCGAGCGATATATTCACGTGGAATAAAAACAAAAAGTCGTAGTTTTTAAAACGTCGCCCCACGTTTCAGCTCAGCGGGCTGGGTGCAACGAACTCGACTCTTTAGGAGGTAACGCTCTTTAAAATCTTTTAATACGCAATACAGACGTCACGATTAGAGAATGGCCGATGATAAACTGCGCGGTGCACGGCGACAATTCACGGGAGAGAGGGACAAAGTGATCACGCGTCCCGCGGGCGCGAAAGCGAGCGGCCATAACACGTGAGGTATAAAAACTGAGGCCGTTGATTTTATAATTTATCTGTTACACATTTGTCGTTGCGTGAAGATCTGGAGATACATGAGCTTTTTGTAGGAGGCCAGTGGGTAATACGCATCAGATGTGATTTGAGGGATAATTTATGATGTTTGTACAGCGGATGTCACTGCACACGCCGCCGTAAACAAACGCTTTATTGTCTACGTAACAAGGAATGGACGAGTCACCGCAACGAGCGCTCACACGCCGCAGGGAATGGCGGGCGAAAGCGCGTTATTACGCACCAGCGATTAGTTAAATTTCGAATCACATAGCGGGCCACAGATTAGCTTTCCAAACATCCGTGCGATCGCACAGACAAAACGCCGTCGGAGTTTTCATAGTGTCACGCTAATTGCGGTCGTATTTATTAAGTTTAAATTGTGCATAAGTCTTCTGGTTTAACGAAGGCGGCCATAGGGATCAATCACTCTTGTATTAACCGAGTTTTCGCGCGCGCCAACTCGCTGTCGACGGCGACGCGTCGGCCATATTTCAAATGCATTTGAGATATAGACCGCGTTTTGTCAATGCATCGCCGCGCTGATTTCGATGATTTATATCTAATTATCATTGCTCTTGTTAATGTCAGTTTCACGGCACATTCCCCGACGTCGGCAAGACGATTTCCTTTTTAATTTATGCGTTGAAATTAGCATCGACTTTATTTAATAGGGGCCGCGTATTCGAAAATTAATACATTGTGTTCTAACACTGAGATGACTATGGTACGATGATTAAATTAACAATAAACCCGTCTGCATTGTTACAAGTAATTGTTGACAGATGAAAGTCGCGAGTGCCCCTTTTTGTTAATATTGTGTTTGAGAAAAACGAGATTGTCACACAAATGAGATATTGGTATTGTTATTGGTCGCTGCAAACAAAAGGGTGTAATTAGAAAAAATAAGAAAGAATTATTCTTTGTGTGATTATTATAAAGAGGACATATTTATCACACTGCGCAGTCGAAATACCACATAAACTCCTAAACTGTGAGTTGAACGTCCTACAGATCCGATTCTGACAGTTTACGCTTCGAGCCCAACTTGGGATAAAATATGGCTTGTGCTCAGACGGATACCGTAGTGAGGGGGCTGCGAGGGGTTGCGGGGGATGGTCGGAAGGGGGGGAGGGGGGCCGCACGCAGCAGAAGACGTCCGCAAATAGCGAGCATCCCGAGCGAGCAAAACAATGCCAGTATGATATTATGGTTTCAGTGCGGGCGTTCAGAACGGGCGCACGGAAATTTGAATTATATTCCTGAACGGCGCTGCGAGTTTTATACCGCTCAACTGTGTGATTTTATTTGCTCGCATAGCCATATTAACTGTCGAAGGAAGAACAAATTTTACATTCATCGCCAGTGGAATAGGTCAATAACAAATGCATTGGAGATTTTTTCGATCTTTGAGGATCGTTACTTTCAAAACAAGTAAATAAGATATGAATATAGGTTTGAGAAGTTGCATCTCTGTAAGTAGAATTTTTCATCTTCGCAAGATGACAGAATCACACACTCTTATTCTGTGTAGACAAACATATTTGTAATGCTCTCTCCAAATGTTTCGTTGTTTAGGCCACGAGCTGATAACTACAGCGGTCGTGATGAAGCCATTTGATGCGGGTCCAACTTTTAATTAGGCAATTGGCCGAACTGACGCCTTGTTTACGACAGCCCGCTCTTCTGCCGAAGCCAGTGAGACGTTGACGTAAGACGAGGTCATCTCAGCTCTCTAGCCTAGCAACAACAAACATCTCTTTGATCGGGTGCTTTGTAATGTCGAATTTCCCTCGTTGTATATCAGCTACTGCTGTATTTGTTGATTGCTCGCTTATTTCTGGGTCCTTAAGTGCACATTGTGGGATCAATATGATAATAGAGAACACATTTGTGTCCTCATTGATGTCGATCGAGGATTTGAAAAGGGGGGTTAGAATTATCACAGCTATGGTCACTTCATGTTTGTTGAGCTTTATCGGTCAACTCAAATCGTATTTAAAGAGAATGATCGGAGAGATTTAACTACGTTAATTTTGATTGGCGTAATGGAAAGTCTAAATGGTGTGATCGAATAATATGCAGAGTCGAATGCAAGATGTTGGCGGCAAGGGAGAGATAGAGAGCCGACGGAGAGACAAAGAGGCGGCTACGTTATATCGGGCACTTTGGTATAACAAGTGGTAGGGACGGACAGGCGGGCGACAGCCGCGGACGGCTATAAATAAATAATGCGCCAACATTTTATTATTATCATAGTGCCAGTGGCGGCCACGTGCGTCGGCATTCCGCTCGAGAAACTGCCAACTCGGCACATTCCGAAATAAACCGCACTACGCGCCCTGCAAAGCACTAATTATAAAACAATTCGGCCCCAAAAATCGAGACGTTGCGACGACGCGATCGACCCACGCTCTTACACGAACGCTCTTTTGAAATAATCCTACTGGATTTTAAATCTACACGAAAGAAAGAATATGAGTTATACTCGATAGTAGTGTTTCTTTCTAAGTCTGGTCGCCCAACCTTAACGGAAACGAATACTAGTCGTACATGTTAAGTGAGCGTACATTCTACCACTGCGCCGTATGGCAGCGATGTTTTGTTTTTATTTGTTGGCGATAAATCTTCAGTTGTGCTATAAAAATTATACTCAATTTTGAACTAAACAATAACAAGCGCGAATCGGGATCGCTCACGAAGGGTTCCGTACCATTATCTATAAAAACAGCAAAAAAATTACATATGTTGCGAGCCCCATTTAGATATTTGTTTACCCTTTTCTTAAGTATTTGTTGTTTTAGCGGTAAAAAAATACATATCTGTGAAAATTTCAACTCTCTAACTATCACGGTTCATGAGCTACGGCCTGGTGACAGACGGACAGACTGCGGAGTCTTCGTAATAGGGTCCCGTTTTACCCTTTGGGTACGGAACCCGAACTAAGTTACGCATTCGATGGCGAATCCGATTGGCTATCTGGCGATCGCGAGTGGCGCTCCGGCGTTGTCAAATCTAAAATTGGCGCAACAACATTTTAATTGGCCACAACGTAATTACGGCCGAACGTAAGCAAGCGCATAAATAACGGAGGATTATCGGCGATAGGCGTACTACGATCATTTCATAGCAATTAACCGGCGAAAATGAATTGACGACTGCGATTCGAGGCGGAATTAGTGAGGCTAACCGTTCGCGGAATTAGTTCTATTTTCGACCCATTCACGATGGTCGCCCCGTTGATTATTATTTTAACGGACAATTAAAATTTGATGGCCCCTTCCACTTCGTTAGTTTTCGGCCCGCTCGGTACAGGCGCACCCCCTTCAACTCCGAACGGGCGTAACTGCTTTCCGTCGCAATTGAATTACTGCTCTACATTAACGTGCAAAAGGTCGCCTTTCAATTGACGACGCGATCCATCGTGAGATGTTTCCGAGATCGAAACTGCTACACTTACTGGCAAGACTAAATGTCAATAAAAATAGTCGTAAAATATGTGGAAACGAAATGGAATTCTCACTCTGTTGCTTTTAATAATAAGGTCTAAATTGCCTTCCACGTTTCAATTTGAACGCCGTTATGAGGAATGTGTGAAGTAGAAATCATGTATATGCACACATTCGTTAAGAATTGACACTTATTAAGAGGGATAATTTTTTTTAATTGGCATGACGACACCACTTTATTACGTCGCGCTGCTGACCACTCGTTAAGTGCGACCGACGTGACATTGTTTGATTTGAAATTCCCGCCATTTGCTCCGCGTCAATCATGGCGACACTCGAGGGAGAGGCGCTGACGTTTTTTTCTTCTCGCTCATGTCGCGTCCGCGTATTCGCGCTGCCAGTGACTTCTTGATTTTTTTTATCTCATACATCGCTCGACGCAAGGAACGTCGCGCCACCACGAATATAATTAAAAATGGAACACTGCGAGGCTAATTGAAATTCCTGCCGCGGCCCGACCTCGGCCGGGTCTGGGAGCCGAATCATACCCGTATGCGATATGAGCCGGCGCGTTCCAAATCCAAATCATTCGATTCGGACTCGGAACGAGCGGCCGCGTGACCAATCGCTAATTGGAGAATGCCGCCGATGCGTTCTTACGGAAGCCGATCTCCGTTCTATAATTGGACCTTTCGGATTAATTCGAATTTTTGATTTCGAACGCGCAATCGGCCACTCCCGGTGTTACCGCGGCCGCGCTTCTTTGTGTGGGAACACCGAACTAACGGTTGTTACCGGCAGCCATTCGCCCGCCACTATAAAACCGACCTTGTGATTGTAATCCAACATGTTATATTAACACGCGGCCGTTATTTAAAACATCAATATTAAGCACACGATCGCAGCGAATCTGTATTGAGCCGTCTCCGACTCTGGGAACTGGGTTCAACGCTATCATATATTAAAGAACATGCCGTATACTCACTACGTGTATATAAATAATTGTATAAACATCCAACACTAACTATTCGAAGAGCGAGCGCGGAGGAAAGAAACGGAATCGATTACCGCGCGACATGTGTTATTGGGTGGCCGTACAAACGGCCGCGGGGGCGCAAATCTTCCTGGTCGCCGGCAAATGGCACCGCGGGGCGCCCCCGGTGTCACGCCGCGACGGTTACCCCAGGAGCACAATGAGCACTGCCGCTGGGAAATATTGCGGCTTCGCTCGGGCATTTCTTCCCTTCCAATTTCCGGGATGGCTGGCCACGGATAAACCTCTGCGGAGGAGCGCCCGTCTTGTGCACGGATTCGAGCCGACACAAGTTGCCGCCTGTTACTCGCTCCATGAGTATGGTTTGCTTTCGCAATTTATGTTGCTATTCACATCAACATTTCTGCACCATCCTAAAGAGTTTCAGGCATCATAGTCGTCTTGTCACCATTAGACGAAGCTAATGCTAATATTATGATAGATAAACGTTAAGCGTATTCATTAGCAGTATCATATATGCGGTATGTTTACAAACAAAAAGGGGACAGTTATTTTAACGGCATTATAAACTACGGTATAGTTATATATGATGCTGACTACTAACACAAAGTTTGAGATGAAAATTGCCAGAAATATCACCATTCCATGCTACCAACAAAAGTCGACATACGATCTACTACTGCCTTTATCGTGCGAGGCGCTATATTAAAAAGAATTCAACATCTTACCAGCGTTTACCAGAGCATTCGCTGGGCTCTATGGGCGACTCACAGTGTCTTCGATTAATGAGTAAACGATATATTTCGCCGGAATCATTTCCCCGAGAGCAATGAAGACATTGGCACCCTGCGGGCTTGCCTCAGATCCGAGTTGTCGCCCGCCCATTATCACAGTGCTCACCTTAACTCGGGGCCCTTTGTAAAGAATACGGCGCGGAAAAAATTGAGCCCGAAACGAAATGAGAGCCATCAAACGCTTAGCCAGATCAAAGTGAATTGGGCTTTTACCGGAGGGTGGGGACTGGCGATGAATATGGCTAAATTTAATCGGGACAAGCGATTATCCAGAGCTCTGACCACTTTAAAGGTATATTTTTGGAGTGACGCAAAAATTATATTGGCAAGTGCAATAATCGCGAAAGAAACATTTATATTGGACTCCAATAAGTCAAAGGGTGATGATGTTGAATGTGTCATTGGTAAGAGTGCGTTGGCCGTAGCGGTATACGCTCGACGCGAGAGGCGCAAAGACGTTGTTCTTATAAAGGAAATAATTACCGTGAGCGCCATGACGATAAATTACGCGGCGTTTACGACTACTGTATTAATAGAAATTTTGCGAGCGAAGCTTAGCGGCGTCGTAAATAAGTTAACTGGCGGTGGCCAATGCGAGCTCGTAAAACTCGTCCGCGGTCGCAGATTGGGCGCAGCGTGGCCAATGGACGCGCGGCCAGTTCAAAAGCGGCGGTTTACGAGCGGCGGGCGGCGTCTTTTTGCCGTTTTGGCGCCAAAATTGACATGTTTAGATCGTCGCGCGACTCCAGGTCGCCGTACCGAGCTACTAGGTTATACTCAAGCGCTCAAATTATTGCTACACCCGAGGAAATATCGCCCACTGCTCGCGTCTTCTTCTCTATTGAACTTAGAGTATTGATGGCTATTGTATGGGCATGGCTTCTTCATCTACTCTAGTAACGCTTTTACTCATTGATTGCCCAGCAACATATCTCTTCAGAATAACAAGTGAGTTAGAAAGCCGTAAAGTCGAAACACCAACATGAAGAACAGTTCATATTCCAAAATAGCTTGCGCGTCTGTTTCCCATATAGCTGATATAATTACGGGGCGCCGGAGTCGCCGCCATCAAATCAAAAGCACGAGTGACACGGGCGCAAAGGAAATAAAACGCGCGACTTACATTCGGAGCGCGTTTAAGCTGCACGGCTATTTGCAGGCGAATTAATTAGACGGATTTATGGAACGATCTAGACTTTACCAACGGTCCTATGCAAAACGGTGGAGGTTAACGAGGATTTACAATGCAATAAAGCAGTCAGAGCCCACCGAGTGACGAGCAAGCCTGTTTGGTGATGCGCCGGCGCGGGGGATAAGCACGTGTGACCCATAACAATTATCTGGTTCGAGATGATAGTCGATGAGCAACTACTATTTAAGGTGCGTAAAGGTCTATATGTGCTGGTGATAGCCACTTACTGAACGAAGCATCTTCAAAGGAACATTTCCAATAATGTTCTTGTTAGAGCCTATGTTTAGACGGACATAAGGTGGCAAATAAATAGATTTGATACTAATAGAGGGATTAAAAACAGAGATTTGATCCGTTGTGGTCACTTTAACGAAGAGAAAGGAGATTTGATTTCAAATGTGCAATAGCTGCACAATTGCAAAAATGAGAGCTCATGTTAGGAAGAGAGGAAGAAGAATTGGAGCTACTCGTAAAGTAGTATTGAGGAATACCGGAAAAGAATTCCACTAATAATATCTTAAGAAGAAATAAAGCGATAAGAACACTCCGCAGTACAACAATGAAATCCGCGTCACTCTAAAAGCATTATCTCATTATTAGGACGTCAAGAATGGACCACATTCACGATTATAGTCTCATCGTGTGCCTTAAAAACAACACTAACAAACGTTCACTATCGGAAAAGTGTATCCTGTTACAATTGGAACAAGGGTCATATTGGCCACAGGTCGTGACAGCCCGGTGGGGCAGCCCCATAGATTCATGGCACCATTCGCGGGGGCGAGTGGAACCATCCTTAATCCACTGCGACGGCTTTGGCGCGACGAACCCGTGACGAATTGCCGCCGATCGGGCCGAATCCCGGCTCAGTTCCTCTATTTTGCTGTTTCTCTTATTGCCCGAGGAACCACCCCGCGCGCCCCGCTCCTGCATTATTCATTGCACGTCGATCGCCGCCGCGCCGCTAACTGTTATTGTGTTTCACGGATAAAAAAACCCTGGTCACCGATGATACACACTAGGCCAGTGGACGAAACGAATTGGAAGATTTTCTTAATCGAGAAGATGGGAAACGAACAAATGGTTCGCTCGTAACGGCAGTACATGGTAACTGTGTGGTGTTGACGCAGCCCATGAATATCCGAAATACCTGATTAGTTCCAGGTACATTGCCAACCTTTAAGACACTGGTCTTTCATATATTGTGGCCAGCACCTGCTGGAGCAGATACTATTAGGGGACTCTTAATTACAACATGTATATGTTAGCGTCACGAAAATTACAAGTCTCATTCACCTCAAGCCGACAATCGAGTGCAATCATCGGCGAAATTTGGACGTCGCCCGCAAAGCGATTATCCCCACACCCGCGGCGGCACCACTCTCAATGGGCCAACCATAAAACGCGAATAAAATATCAGATCGCGAGGTGAATCCTCTGGAAAACGTTCCGCGGCACCCCGACAGAGACTGTATCGTAGGCGCAAAAAGATTAGCGCAGGGGGCGTCGTAAAGAAACAATTTTCTGGCATCCCAGCCGCACCGGGGGAGCCCGCTTTATGGAATACGGCGACATGATAAAAATCCGGTATGAGCGCCGTTCGGGATTTCCACATTTTCACTTAACAGACTGTTGGCCGGGCTCCGGGCGATTTGCATTGCAATTTCCTGGATGTAGGCCCTAATCCTTTTCCATTCTGCGCTATCGCACTTTTGTATCTGAGAAATAAATGCCGTTTATATATAGGCCTTTATGTGTGTGTGTTTCTTTTTTAAATAAGTAATATAAAAGTTTACTGTTTTCCCTAAATTTCACTTTCTGCAGTATTCTGTCAATTCTGCTTCTCTCTATATGTATGTGTTATGAATGTTTTAAATTTTGTGTTACGGTGATCCTTATAATTCTAGTAAAACAAACTGCAGTATTATTTAAAACAGAACATTTTATTGTTTAATCCGTTTAGAGACAAATAAAAATATAAAATTAATTTAATCAAAATCACATTGACATACAAGATGGACGTACACCAAATAGCATATTAATATACATTTAAGAGTTAGATAATTAAAAAAGAAATGGGTTTGAGAACGTTGGGGGTAATCGACCTCCACGTTCGCACTACGCTAACTTAGATAAGAAACAACTACACAAAGATTTACTGTTAAAGAAAACTGATATACAGACAATGCAATGTAACTAATATATCGTCGCGTGGCATCCCCAACATACAGGGAACGCCGCGCTCCCTCAAACAAAAGATTAATAGTATGGCTTCCATGTTAACAATGCGAGAAATAATATATAACACAAACAAAACAATTCAGTCTCAACGCCCAAAAATATGCCCTACGCACATATACTAAACAAACATACGGACGTGGCGATCTGTGGCGATCGATTCTGTATGTGACAACCGCGTCACCAACAGACGTCCCTGACACGATGTCAGACCTCTAGACTGAGTTTGCCTTACAGAATCGACCCCCGAGCTCCCCGCGTCGCCCTATGGGTCGGCGAACGAACATAACGCTGGTTGAAGGGATCTCGACCAGAGCCGGTCAGAAATCGGACCGATGTGTACAAAAATACGGCAAAGCGTCTTAATTTTATTTTAAAACCTTTTTCGTTGCACGTGGAGTGGGAAGGGGCTCGCGCCCTGAACGCGACGCCACATCTAATTATAATTTATCCTGTAGAAGCATCTAGTTCTCTATTAATACAACGCACATACATATAATATCCGCCGGCGGCGTCCGCGCCGACGGAGTGCAATTACAACTAGCGTATACTGCGTACGTATTTCTGTTTCAACTAACTAATTAGTACACCTGCCCATCTAACCTTTAGTAAAATGAATCGGCCAATATAATCTATTTACGTATTACATTCAGCTAGCCGAAACGCTGTGACGCCCTAGTATCTACCACCATTAAAATCAATGACAATAATTTAAAATTTCTTAAGTAGAATCCTTAACATCTCACTTAGGCAAGTTAAAATTGTATCTTTTACGTATACATCGTTTTCAAATAGTTTCCCAATACACCTAATTAAGTTTAAAACTAAGCTCAGAGACGTGTAGCTGAGAACAGTTAGTCGTATGGCAATTGAAGTTAGTGGTCCCGAAGAACGGTGGCTTCGGTGTGACTTAACGTGCTGTACTTTACTTAACCACTTAATACTACAATTAGTATACACATATTACAATCAACGTTTTACGTATGTTTAGTATTATTTTTTTCAAATCGTATACATAAAATTCCGCAAACAAAGTCCGAACATCGGCGCAAATGTTCAATGAACAAACTCAACGAAGCGGCCGTGGTCGAAATCTCTCGAGATCGACGACGGGTAGTTATATTATAGTTGTCGTGTCGCACCCTTTAGACACCCCTTCACTGTAACGTGTCTATTATGGTAATAATTTGGAAACTCAATTCGTGCTCAATGTCAGATTGGAAAAGGTTGCGTACAGTGTCGAGAGGCTGGCCAATTGCAAAAACGAAGATTTGTTCTAAGGACTAAGCGAGGCTAGCGGCGCACCGTCGGGCTCTTTGGGAGCCTTCGGGGGGGCCGAGGTCACGGCGCCCGGACACCAGACGGTGACTGGACGCCGCGTTACAAAGCGAGGGAGGCGGAATTAAAGAACTAGTATGCGAGCACCCCCTTTACGGACTTCGTTTTTGCAATGGCCAAACTAAGAGCAGGGGTGCACGAGGTAGCTCGTGGTAGAGTTGGGTGCTAGCTGGGGATCGCGCCTCTGAATCAGGTGGGACTTGCTATAGGGGGTACTCACGACGTCGGGCGTGGAGGCGCCGTCGTGGCTGCTGTCGGGCGCCGAGCGGGGCTCGCCGTTGGCGTCGGGCGGCCGCGCGGACTCCCGCTCGTCGATCACCAGGTCGATGGGCATCTTGCCCTTCAGGCAGCTGATGTAGCGGTGGCAGAAGTTGTCGCATAGCTCGTGCACCTGCCGGCATACGGACGACCTGTTACTCGCGTCCCTATCGCAACAGAACGGACGTGCGCGACTCCAGAGGAGTTGCCGCGCCTCATCCGGCTCCTGTGGAAACGTACTCCCCGGTCGTGCCTCCCAATTTTGAAACAGCAGAAGCTATTGCAATGCTATATTGCGGCTTAACCACCTCGGAGCAAGGTTGCTAGACTACTAAAATAATACACATATGGAATACAAAAACTGAATTGTGCTTCATTTTCGGTAGATCCTTTTCTGATGAACTGGTGAGCTTTAGGCTTAATCATTATATTCTGACGGGCCGTTCATTGAAGATGATGATTCTACCGGGGCCCGCGTTTAAAGACACGCAACCTGTGAAGCCAAAATTTCTGCCACTCCAATCGTAACTGGCCGCGTTTATGACGCTCAGCCACCTGCGTAGAAACTTTACAAGGGGCACCACCTTGCGACGCTCCGAAAACAAATAACATTTATCTTGTCTCCCCATCGATGCTAATCAGATATGTGTTATGAATACATCTTTTTCAAATCAACGATATTTTGGACAGAAATGTATTCATAAAACATATCTGATTAATATGTTTGTGAACCACAACGGCGGCGTGAACAGAAATCTAATAAATATTTATAATTCTTTATGACAAGTTAATTTTATGACTCCCGATGAAATATGAGAAGCATAATTGTCTCTTGAATACTTTGTCTTTAGCCATGATAAAAAATGATGCCATAACTCGATTAAAAATTGACATTCTCAATCAAGCGAATTGCAAAATAAATATATTCAACAAACAAATGTTACGCTATTGATCAATGACCCAAAGGGCAGACCTATTTGATGACGACAAAACAATGGCTGTGCAATTAATTAATACGAACAAAAAGCGTGCGGCAACACAAATAAAAGGGAATACATTTCGCACCGACTCGTGGGCCAACTGTCGCGTCGCGCACTCCTAAAAACTCCGAAACGCAATTTAAAAACTTGTATTTAAAATTTTTTTTTCTCCCGTCTCGTCATAAACACGACCCCCGACGGCGTATTAATTCCGTACCTTATAAATTTTCATAGGCATAATTAGCTTTTAAATTAACATAAGGCAATAAAGAGACTAAAGAAATTTTTAGACAGCGCCTCGACGCGGTAAAATGTAATAAAATGGCGGCAGGTGGGAAGCGGGAAAAAATAGCGCGCTGTTTGGAGCCTTTTCGAAAAGCGAGCGGTCCCGGCTGTCTTGGCGGATTAGAAAATAGAACGCGCTGCCCCGGAAACGGAAACAGCGCCACCCGCCGTTGACAGCCAATTATGTCTTCGGCACACTAATCTCCTAATCGACAGCTTTCCCAAATTACGCGAGCGCCCGTTAAAAGAGCGTACGCGCGCCCGAATGGCGCAGTTTGTTTATCGTAATTTGAATTTTACAACCGAACCGTTGAAATTCATATTTTATTGCCGCGTGAATTTTATTGACACTAGAGAGGATAGAGCGGCCGGCTTTACAGGCGCCGGGCGGTTTCCGAGCATTGCGCTGTCAATGTCAAAATCATGATTGAGGGCGCTTTTATAAGCTAACAGTGTAACTGAGTGAGCGCACCGTCCCGTATGCATGCGTACAACATTCACGCATACGGCCCTAATCCCGCGCCGCGACTATTTTCGATCCGGTGACACCGCCTTAGAATTGACATCGTAACTCTTGGGGAATTCAAATTTGGAATCGCCGCGCGGACGCCGATAGGCGAACGTGACCTGTATTTGTACACGGTGAAGAGTTATTGTCGAACACGGGCGATTGCCGGATACGATGTTGCTCGGTGCGATGCGATGTCTTTAATGAGATATTACGGCATTCCGAGTCTCGGGTTCGGTCCGATTATCGTTTCGAACATCAAACTCCTTCCAGAAACTTCAAATTTGGAAACAGGATTGAGATATAGAGCGTGTCTGGACGCGGGCTTTTTATTTAAATTTGGAATGAAATGTGACCTAACGGTGGCGCACTGACGTTCGAGAGCGGCAGAAGGCCCGTCTCCATTCTGAATAAAGCACATTTCAAATATCAAAGCGATTCAAAATGATTTATAGTGCAAGGTTTTTATTCGTTTATATTAACTATAACAACAAAATACTTTTGAGAACTGCCTTTATCTAACTAATGAATAACAAAAACCTTCTTAGAAATGCCACATACGGGGCACTAGAGAATGAGCAAATTGTAATATCTTTATTCAATATAAAAGCATTACACTTATTTATTGATTGTCAAAATAATACTACCGGTTCGGAAAAAAAGCACTAACCTGAGAAGAACCAGCGAAATAATCTCAGCGGGACAATTTTTTTTTACCATTGAAAACATGTCTGCAATATATTAAAGTCGACTTGAAAGAGCCTAAGGTGTGTGGGAAACTAGTAATCAAATGAAATTCGTCGATCGCTTGACGTTTCCTTGGACGCCATTACGCATTAGTGTGTTATTTCGGCGCGAAAGTGTTTAGACTTTTTAAAAGAGGTCCAGAGAGAGCTGCAGCGGTGCCAGTAGCGTGGGCCGGGATCTCGCAACTGTGCCACGGCCGATCGAAGACTAAAAGGGTTTTCTTTTTCGTTCCCGTGTTAATGCCGTGTGGGCGCGTTCCGGCGCGGCGCCGCGTTGCCAAATTAATTTTTATCCAACCGCCCAGTAATAGACGTAAGTAGCGCATAAATAAACACACTCAAAACATCTTTTGATATCTTGCTCCGCGCGCGGCCGGCCGCCCGACGCGGCGTCAGCGCTTCGAAATTCAAAAACGTTCTCTTTTAATGCACCATTCTTTATCTGTGCTCGATGCGCTGTACGCGTTATCGGGTTGACGTTTTAACATCGTCCGCCATTAAACTTAGTGCCCCGCTTAGATTCGATCGGTGAAATTTAAATTGAATTGCATATATTCATTTTATTACATGTTAATTATCTGTAATTATTTTAGTATTTATCCAACGCGTCCTTATAAATATCTGTTTCCGTATCTGAGGCATTTCTAAACAAAAGCCCGTTTCAAGACTGAATTCTCAATCGCGCATTGAATGTTGGCAAGCCTGGATTTACACGGCCATACTGTTTTTAATTTTTACGGCGTACGAGCGACAAACCGGCGTGAGTGGAATGGACACTACGGGCTGCATACAAGTAAAAATAGCTCCAAATGATTATTCCAAACAGTCTTTTGAAATCGTTCGATACATTAGTAACGCGTGTGTTAGCTAGTGTGATCCATTTCCGATTATCTATAATTATCAAACGCTTCACGTTGCACTGTATTTATTCTTGTTAAAAACTTTGGGCCGACACCGAGAGATGTCGCCTAAACAATTCCGAATTTCGAGCGACACAGCTATAAACTGTTGAGATGCAAATGCGACCAATTTTGCCGCCATTTCCGATCGTTGTCCGAGGAGTCTTTTTTTGTTGAATCGAAAAAAAACGGTCCCAGAGCGCATTCAAATGAGTCCGAATGGCGGCCATGCGCGACGCTACATTATTTCCTCATCGCCAACCGTTCTAAACATTCCAGTTATTAATAAACATCGGCCAATTAGACGTGTGAATAGTTCCAAATCGGAAATTAAAACGGCGTTCGTACGGCCGCGTAGCGTGGCGTTCGTGCGCGTATAAAAGCTGTAAAAGCGGTCGCCGGGTCGTAAACGACGGGTCCCAGGTTCGAGGCCCGGCCCGTAAACTAACAAATCTGACCCGCATCGTAAATCACTTAGCCACGTTGTTACAGATAACGTTTACGAGTTAGAAACAAAATATGAAATAAAAAAAAAGGGAGCGAACACGGCTTTTTGCCTTGGCCACACTTTTATAATGGCTATTACGGTGGCATGGAAACGCAAACAAAGCCCGCTTTTAATGTAATTCTCTAATCGTGGACTGTTTGTATTGACGTCATATGAAAGAGTGGATTTAATCTTGGAGGCGATCCATTCTAAAACATCGAAACGGCCCTCATTCGAGGAAAGGTCACTCTTGGAGGCGTATAAAAAAGGAGTACAGCCCGTGATAAATCCCCGAGTGACGCCGAGGTAATTAGGGGAACATTCAGGCCTGGGTTTAATACGAAAAAAAGGTTGACCCGCGACGACCAATCACACACACCCCGCCGAGGCCGGAGCGGACCACGATGCGCCCGCCTTCGGCCATATTTTAAAATATTCAAAAGCATAAATCAAAAGCGCCATTGGATATTATAATGTGGAGATCATTCCGAGGAGCTCGTCACAATCGCCACGCGTGCGTACGAATGCTGAGTGACTATTTTTTTACTCCTGCAGCAATCGCGACGTCATTTATTCAACGCTACAGAAATGGCGCCAATACATCAAGTTGTATTCGCATCGCAGTCGTCGTAATAAATACACACAATTACAACGGCGATGTGAAAAAAAAAAACGAACGAACTTAACAAGATCTCATTGTACGGCCTCTGCTGGATCGGGTCGTGGCGTTTTTTGTCTCCCTCCCTCCTTTGCGTTTTAATTATTGTTTAAAGCTTCGAAAACATCACCTGTGGACGGTGTGTAGTGAAGCGGAAATGGATCCAACTAACGGTGTGCTTTTTTTCTTCGATTCCGTCCGACAAAAACAGTAGACGAGATAGGAACCGACGTATATGGGATATGAGCAAGGGGCAAAAAAAGTCTTTTTCGATCACGGAGACAGGTACGCGCGGTCATGACTAACTGACGCATCTAGCGGTGCGCGGCTACGAAGCGAGCAAAAACCTCGAACGATTAAATCGATGCGAGGGGTCGAATCGCCTCGCAAAAATCCCATTCGAAATTCGAACGCGTTATTATTTTTAATTCCTATTCGAATTTGGAATGCGTTATTATTTTTAATTCCCCTCAAGCGGCCCGTATCCGTACGGACGGCGGATTCGGTATCGCATTACCGGTTATCTCGTTACGCGCGCTTTTTGTGTTCGCGCCCGTACGGTTTTTAACGAATCCACCGGTTCCCTAGCGTGATCAATGCGGCGCCGGATATCTGGGAGCGACCGCCGACGTATCTCCTTTCTCGACGTTGCTCCGGTACAGATCTTAGCCGCACTAACTCCATCGGTGCGCAGGCGCAATGTTGACAACCGGTATCGGTTCCGGCGAGTACAGCGATTTGACTGTGTCCCTAGCACTTCGCACAACGAACCTAGTCGAGTAGAGAAAGCGAGTGAACTTATCATTATTACTTGTGGGCCACAGGTCCCGCTAAACTGCTCACGTAGCCGGGAGCAAGCTCAAAACTTGGAATGGAGATCTCTAAGATGGCCACGTCGGTCGGCCTCAAAGGTACGCGACGGTACCGTTGTGGTCCGCCGGCGTACCGAGAGGCGCGGACCGGTCCGCAAAGGGGCCGCCGAATCCGCGCCAGCTCCCACCGGCCCCGGCAGAGGCGACACGACCGGTCTCGGTTACTCGTGTGCGTGAGCCGCTCGCGTGCTATCGGTATCTCGGTTCGAAATCGACCGCTCGGATAATCGAATCGATATTGTGTCGGATATTCCACGGGACCGGTCCGGTCCGGCGGCGGCGCGTAATGTATTCCCCTCCCCTCCCCAGCCCCCACCGCCCTCGCCCCGGTAACAACAATCGGACCACTTACTTTTTCTAATTCTAATAGGTGAAACCGTAGCACTTGTATCGCTTGCACCATCTGGAAAGAGAGAGAACGGTTAGGTTAAAATTATAAGAGAGAAGGTACACAAATAAGGTAAGCGAATCCGATCGAATGTCGTTAGGTACGTCTGGTGTGGCTATGCTTCGAAATGGATTTAACAGGACAAAGGCAGGTGAGCAACAATGGACGGGACAAAGCGCTTCGCAGCCAACTAGAGATGAGCAGTCGTTCATTATTGTTATTATACATATTCTATTGTATCTCAATTCTATTGTATCTATGAATTCGTTGTAGATAGTATTATGGTCGGTGTGAAATAGAAACTCCTTAAACAATAACCTGATATAAATAGGTGATTTATAACTTTTAAAAGATAAAAGATAAATATTGCACATGCGTAATTGTTAGCTTCTATATTAGACCAGGAATAATAATTTCTCGCACAAAATGCCAATTCGTAAAACATCAGAGGGTATTTCAGTGACTATGCTTCAGACATAATTTAATCCTATTTAGGGAACGACTCTGCGCTAATCTTACACCAGTTTGTTATTTAAGACCACTGATATTGGTTAGCTCCACCGCTTAGCATTGGCACCGGTCTTCAGGCTGAACTGCACATGACTAGCCGGCCTTTTAAAATCGATATGCGTCTAAAAGTGCCGGTTAATGCCGTTTTAATGGTGCCTTGATTTGTTTCTGATTGCCAAGCGCAAGAGGCTCGGCCCGCGCTGCCAGACGCCCTACTCGTTCCGTGTTTGATTGGTGTGTGAAAAAATAGTTCCAGTATTTGAAATCACCGCAGCAGTTGCGGCCCCAACATATACAATGCATTTCAAACCACCGTATCAGCTTTATTTACCTGCACAGAACCCCTACACGTGCCTTCAGAACAGATTCAGAGTCATCGGACTGTCCAATGGTGTCTCTCCTATCTTTATCTTAAACTGCTCCTATGACGGGATTGTCGCTACCTTGGAAATTATAAAAGTTTGCTAACTTTGCCAGTTTCTATTACAAAATTCTACTACATTAACGCTAAAGACTAACGATGATGACTTATAGGTGTCCCATAAGCAAACACACACAGTCTTCTTTTTGAAAATATGAAACAGCTGTAGTAACACCCTCGACATGGGTACTAGGGCGTCATGAGTTACGGGGAGTGAAAGCTGCAATATCAGTTAGAGGTACGCTTACAGCGCCTCCCTTGTGTATTTACATAGCAGGAGCACCGGCAGCCAGACTGCCAGATAAAAATATGTCAGAGACACACAGGCTCTGTTTGAATAAGGTCGGCGTTCGAGTCTCAGCCCGCGGTCTTAAACTAGACAAACAGCGGGTCGGAGACGCGCTATTGAGCCTAAACAAGCTACCGTCGCTCGTTAACAACGACGGGTTGTTTAATCCGCGTTTAGAGGGCCCTCCACTTAACAGCAGTCCAAATATTAACTCGTCCCGTTAAAACTGTTAGCACGTTTTGATCGGAGTATTCAAGTAGAACCCTCTAAATAATCTGTGTCGGAATACGTGTGTAAAAATGTTCTTTCGTCCAGTTTTTTCGTATTAAAAAAGGGCCCACTAAAAAGGCTATACAAATGGCTCAATTCGGGTCTTAGCACAAGTGGTTGTTTGCTGACGCCAACGAGCTGGGCTGTCTCGATGGGGTGTTTAACAGCTCAAACGCAGTGACAGACAAACACAGATGTGACATGGGCAAATAGCCTTGTAGCCCACGGGAGTCCGACGTAGAGTGCACATCAGTGCAGTATAATTAAATAAATTATCTTTTAATATTACATTACATTGTTAATAAATTGTATTTGAGAACGTTTCATAACATACAATGGTAGTGCTAAATATAAACATAGAGAACAATTAATTTGACTGGAATTATATAATTTACCAAATGTGGTTTTACGACATTTTTATTGGCTGTTTCATTTTAATTACAGATATAGTTTTGAATTTGTATTGTTGATTATAAGTTTTTAGAATAATTAAACGTTCAAAATGTCAACATTAGATAAGATATTTTACGGACGAAACGGCCAAACTTTACAACAAAACATGTTAAGGTGTTGTTTATTATGAAAAATAAACCACCATATGAAATATGTTTATTAAGAAAATCTGCATAAAGTAATTGATTTCGAGATGTTGCAGTTACATGACGTTTATTATAGTTTCAACGCCATTTTACGAGCGTGTGCAAGATACAAATGACCTGGACTTGTCCTTGTTGAAACAAAAGGATGGTCGCCCTAGCGCCGTAACAAATTCGTCCGCGCCGAACATTCAATGTTAGCTTAATGCATTAAAAAAGTTAAACTCTCCTTTGTTGATATTTGATAACTTACGCTGGGACAAAAACTGAGACTCGACGAAATTAATATGTGTGCGTGCGTATCGCCTTCCTATCTGTGTACGGACAACGTTTTGAACGAAGAACGAACCGGAGTTAAATAACAAAAATAATGTACCACCTAACTCGAATATTTATTATATAACAGAAAACATGAATACCACTCCTGGGTGGAATCTCGGATTATCAGTATAGCCATAATTAATGACTACTTTTGAATTCCTGTCATTAGTTTTACCGTTGTAGTAAATGAACGGTAAAATATTTGACGTCGGTGATCCAATCGTTGGTGTTGGTTACTGGTTAAAGCCCTCGGCCGAATCGAACCGCCGCTCAAGAGGCAAGCGATGACGTCAGCGGTGGCCGTCGGCAACCCCCGGCCATTGCCGTCCAGGGCCTTGTTAAACAACAATAATGCTCGTCGAACGCCTTTGTCTACCGCAATAACCGAAAGTGCAAACACACAACTCGGCCGCGCAAAAACAACACCCCGAGGCGTCCCGGCCGCATACAAAACTAAACTCCACCGCCCCACACTTAAGGGCCACAATGTCGCAGTGCGAACCGTCCGCAACTCCGTAATACGCTCGCAGCCGGAGCCAATTATTTCACGTGTAACACACAATAGTGCAATTTTATCGGAATCGAAAGAAATTGCCCGCGATGTGTCTTTTCAAAGGACCCATTGAGGTCGTGAATGCCGGCCAAAGAACTGCATAATAAGCAATATTTCTAAAGATAAGAGCAAGCCCACTTCAACATACGGAGCTAATTACAGAGGTGAGGAATTTTAAAATTATATTAAACCTAGCTTCCTCCGTTGCTTCTTTATCTAGATAACGAGTAAATATTTTAATGTTGGGAATATTAATCATCCCATTTGTGAATCGATCGTGTGAAAATTGTTATTTATTATCCTTACTCAATGTATCAAAATTATTAAAAATAAATCGTATTATACATCGGTGAATGCACGACTTTCGTTTTACAGATTTTTCTAGCAACGCGAGAGTCACAGGCTATGTCGAAGCGGTGCTGGTTGGTAAATATTTAAAGAGGAAAAAAATTGTCGTCAACCAGTCCTGATTGTCGCAGCACATGACAGTCGCAGCGAGCAAACATGTGGGCACACGGTGGCAACACATGTCGCCGGGGCACACAAAAACACCACGATAACTCAACCATAGCTCGTCGCCAAGTTCTCTCTGCCCGGATGTTGGATTTGTTTGCGCGTTATCTCGAGGAGTTAGGTTGGGCCGGAGCCGCATGAATGAGCCTTATCAACACCTCAGCAGGTAAGCCCGACATCTTGGTTTATGGCGTCACGGCCCGCTACCGTTTCCAACTCGTTACCGGCCATTCTATGCATCTGATTTATGCTAATTGCCACCGTTTAACACTGGATATTTCGCCATGTTCACAATCCTATGCAACCATTCACCTAGCGGCGTATTTCATTACAACTACAAAATTCGAAATAAAGGTCGATTGTCTGTTATTGGACTGTTTATGCATTATATTTTGCTTGTACATGTTACTTTATTGGCTCGCATTCCTAGAAGAGCTGAACTGATTTCCGCATTCCGCGTGTCCACCTAGAAGGACAGAGCCGCCTGTGAGGCCTTACAAAAGGGGCTTCCAAACAGAGTGAAGCGAGCCTCGCCAAAGCGCCCGATTCGTAATGCCTTAGATTTTATTTGTTAAAAATCGGTTAAGTACCCGTGTCGAATGGCGACGGTGGGTGGCCGCCATCTTATTTTTGTTATTTCGCTTTTTTTCCCCCCGTGCAGCTAGCCGCGGGGTACGACGCGATTCGGCCTTTTTATGAGTGACAATATATGGACGTTTTTAATGGACATTCTTGTTGTTCCCGGAACGTTACCTGCGCTTCGTCTAAACGGGCCCCGAGACTAATCAAATCGTAAATTAAACGGAGACGTGAAGTATAAAATGTTAACTATTTTACGGCGTATTAAAACCCGCTTTATTTATCTTCGGGGGGGTTATAAAATTGTTTGATACTTACTAATGAGTCGACCTCTGGGTCCGCTATGTAATAAGGTTTTTCTTGGCGTATCTGTGGACAAAAGAATTGTTTCAATTAATTAACGTTACGGACAAAGCATTAGCATTAGACTTTCCAATCGACTTACACAAGACGCATGCTCGTGACGTCATTGTTTTCACCGCGATCGCTCGAAATAAACGCGAGCCGCGATATAAATTATCGCTGTCATAAGACGACAGTTACTCGTGACATATGAGCGTCCGTACGGCGCTAAGCATCACGGGCATTGTCCATCGGGTGAGCTGACAAATAAATCTCGTGGCAATTTATAAACAATAAAAAGAGTCCGTAAGTGGATGCGGGTTAATGAGACGGAGAGCGTAGGCGTATTAATGGCGGGCGAAGCCGGGCCGCGGAGCTTGTGCGCAGCTAATAGAATGCTCGCACGGCTGGCTGCGTGCGCGCCCGTTGCCACAGACTACGCATACACGCAGACGCGACGAGACACGCGACCAGCGTTATTTAATCGCGATGATAACATTCCACGTGAATTAAATTTCAGTTTATGGCTAAACTAAATGATGGCGATAAGGAATCTTTACTTTAGCGTTATTTCTCTGCTTTAATTTCACAATAAATTCGCGCCCTAATCCATATACTTATCTCGGATTGTCCAATCTAAGACAGATATTACGACTTTTCTCTAAATAGGCTTCGACAAATGTTTTATTATGAGCACTGTTTTCATTTATTCATCTTGCTACTTACAACATGACCTAAGATTGGACTCAACTTTGATCCATTGGCAGAATTTGACCGTTTAGCGTGAAGAGGCGATTCTGTTAAGCGCTTTTTCTTTGGAACGGGCGCGGAGACTTTTTTCGACATTTGAACCTAGGCTGACCGGAAATGCGATACTATCACGCAACTTATGCAAGTAGGCCGGCTTTTTAATAGATATACGTTACACCTTAGGCCGGACACGCTCTTGTTACCATGCTTCGAGAACAGAACATCACTACCACGCGTAGTCTACATTAAACGCAGCATTCATTTAAGCAGTTTTCACAAGAATGGACACTTGACATTCAGTGCGAAGTATAGATAGAACTTTGGACCTCCGTCTTACTTGAGTAACTGTAGAATTTTGTTGGTTAGGTTGGTAGCTATCGGCTGCAGCACTGCGGTTCGTAGGTTCGATTTCCTCACACAAGTATATGCAGGAATCACGAATATAAGCGATCTTAGTTTTGTCTGCATGTAACATCGCGCTATTATCTAATGGTAATGTTTTTTCTCTTTTAAAGGTACAAAGTTAATTGTAAAGCATACCTTAAGGAACAATTGTTACATTTCAACACGAAGACATATCTTTTGCTCCATAATAATCGCCGTACTCGAATACATTTTCTTATAAAGCAATTTCGCGTTCTTAACCCAACGGCGTATAAATATTAAATAGTATGCAATCAATTCTCGAACATTACAGACGTCACTATGTTATTTTCCGGCGGGCAGTTATCATCCGCAGCCGACGCTAACAAATAAAGTTTAATTAAAAACCCCGATAAAGCTTTATTAATAACTTTAATGGCTGAAGTAAGAGATAAGTGTCATCGGTGTGAAAACAACTTTGACGATTCTGTCACGGCCTATAACAGGGGGCGATTGTCCAGTGGATGCGTACTATCATGATCGAATGAGTTGCAAGTTCAAACCCCAGTTAGAACGCACCATAGGTGATTTTTTTTTGTTTATAATAGAACGCTAATTATTCACGATGAATTAAAGGGTCAATGCATCGAAAAATCTATTAGGTAGTAATCCGTCAGCGAAACCACTCAGGTATCAAACCTAAGAATTGCAATTAAAGTGAAAAGGGATCACTACACCTGTTCATCGTTCAAAGCACACACAAAAACGAATGCACTGACGATCTTGAAGGCTATTAATTGGGAATTGCTTTACCGTGCCAATGCTGAGAGGTCAGTTTGCCAGCGCCGTGTCTCAACAGCTTTATAAGCAACTTGTCACAAGCGGCGTTATATTCCGAGAAATACGGTTGCCACCGCTAATCAAATTAACACCTTAGTACGTCACAATAAGATACAAATTTATTAAAAACACGACCGTACAAATGGCTCCTATTAAAATGTATAGAATCGATTAAGATCTCTCGACTATAAATGCCACAGTTGAGTTATCGATTTTACAATGGCGTAGGTAAATAGTTCGTTAAATATTTGCGAAATGATGACAGTTTTTCCACTTTAATAAAACAAAAACATTTAAGAAATTTATAACTTAAAACTTACAACATCATACTATAACATATATTTGTAATCAGATATGACTTTGTAAAAATAAAGAGTATTTAACAGTTTGTGTACAGTTAAATTTTAATATGAGTTTTAGGTTAATTGTTTAGCAACTTTACCATTCATAATTCACTACTAATAAGCAAACTTTATGAAGTTATTAATTAACAACCAACAAATAATTATTGACCCAAGTATGTCAGGTAAGGCAAACAACTCTTATGCCAAACCAAGACAAGGCATTTCAAGTACCAGATTTAACGTCACGATCACTCATATAAATACATAAGCACGTAATATGTAATAAATTAAAGAGTTAGAGATTACTAACACAACACGTAACTGTGGCCTAATTTCTGTTTACGTGCCACCAAACATAATGGTAGCGTAAGAACTTACATAACCCCCCCCCCCCGTACCCTTCCTGCCTTTGGGCGAGGAAGACCCTCGTTTGGGGGGCCAGCGACCCATGAAGCCCCCACTTTGGACACCATGAATTAAATGCTAATAAGGTACGATCGACCGATACCGCCTCGGTTGGAAACCAGCAATTTCGATGTGACTGCATAACTGGCCGGTGGTTTGTGCCCGGGTCTCGTTATGTGCACTTTGGTGCTTTTGGGAGGCCGGCCCGGGGGGTTATGGAGTGGGGGCAGCCTCGTAGTACTATCTCTTCACGAGTTCATACAGGTTATATCCACATAATATCGTTTTATATATATAATTCTTGTCTACGTATGTACGTCACTGTCCTCCTAAACGGCTGGACCGATTTGAATAAAATTTTGTGAGTCCATTCAGGTCGATTCGAGAATGGTTTAGATTCACAATTCGGTCTACTACGATTTTTTTAATTTCTAAGTTGTCGCATTTAAGTCATGTGCACAGGACAATGTCAATCCGGTCCGCTAGTCGTTTTATAAGTATCGACGTATGATATTGGTATTGTCTGACAAGCATTTCCAACACAACCGTTCGGATAACGAGACACTTTTTTAATTGAGGTAACTCTATAAATTGAATAATTGCCTAGAGTCTTCTACGTACGGAATTGCTGGATTAATTTATTGTATGTGTTATCGGAATCGAAAGATATTTTTAAGTCTAACTAAATCTGAGCATTTATTTATTTTATTTTAAAACTTCATGCACAAAACACTGCTCATAGGCGGGATTAATGCCGACTGCATTTTCTACCAGTCAACTTTAGGGTGGTAGTGAGAAGTTGAGGTAGGTGTACAAAAATATTTCTTCTAAAATATATATTTCATCTATTCATGTTAACTACTACTAAATCGTTTATTATCTTAGTCGTAAGATCCCCGCCTCGAAAGAATATTAAACGCATTAATATGACAATGAATTATTAGAAAGCAGATGTCATTATTTGTTGCCCACGGGGGAGTTGTAAAACGGGCCGGCCATCTTGGGGACAACTTTGACTCGCCCTTTTTAAAAATCTTTGTCCGAGCGCAATTGTCGTTGCTCTATTCACGGGGCCTTCCTACCTGCTCCATTTATCGTGCTCCCCTTTGTGCATTCCCAGGCGAAACGGCGCATTGTCGGGGTAATTTAATAAGTGCCTTCGGGTAAGCGCTTTTGTGGGCCATGCTAAGCCCACTACGGACTACGCACTGCTTGGGATCGTTCACGAAATTTACGACAGCGTCCGCTGACACCGTTCGCTGGCAGACGCCTGCGCTACCTGAGCGTTGAAGTATCCATCGAGCCCATCGTTTAATTAATAACAGAACCGGCCGACTGTCAGCGATGCAAATTATGTCTTGCTAGCACGCGTTAGAGTTGATTAACGGCCGAAGCGTCCGTCACTACCGTCCGCCGCGTATCGGAGGCCCAAAATCGCTACCAAACGTGGTACCCTATAATTTGTTATGAAAAAAATCTATTTATGAGATGAAATGAAGCGATGCGACGCTGCCTAAGATGCCGTCGATCGATCTCGCCCGCTTCCAATAAATCAATGTCGTCCGCTCGATTATGACGCTTGTCGCATTCTGCATACGATTTACAGTCGCGTGCGCGTGCCAATGTTAAATTATTCTATAATGCGTAAAGGTTGTATTTTGTAATTTCGTTAGGTCGCCTCCTATTTAATAAAGTTTTTATGTGGCGGGCAGGTGGGGGACCACGTGCTTTTTTTTCGGGCGCATTTTTAACATCAAAATTCGATAGCTGCCTGTCGGGCTTCTGAGGTAGTTGGTGGTCGAAATTATAGTTTATTAATTTAAGAAGCGGTTAGTTTGCGCAGTTTGTTCATGAAGAGCGAGGCGCGCCGAGGTCGCGTGGGCCAGTGGTCCATTGAGGGGGGTCCATCTCCTTATTGTGCACCTGTGAGACGCTCATTGCTCCCCACGTAAACCGTCATAAATATCTCCTCAACAAAACTGCTACTACTGAATATGGCCCCCATAAACCGGACCTTATAAACCTCCGGCCGGGTTTTGTTCTACGGCCGGGCCCCGCGCTTTTGTTTGCTCGGCCCATAAATATGTTAATATTGGACTTATTCATAACAGGAATGTCCAAATGTATTCGTTGCGGGCGAAACGGGAGGAAAAAAAGCGCGCCGCGGCCGCGTCCTAGATTCGACGCTCAACTCTTGCATCAGACAACGGGTTCTCCAAGACTCCCGTTCCCTTCGTGGCCGGCTCATAAATAAAGATGCGGACACAATTCGCGCGGTGTCGCCACGAGAGGCGCGCCATTCACCACATTGTACCGGTACCGCAT